AAGGGACTGTCATTAGCACAAAACGTTGATGATTCACCTTTCACAGTTGATATTCTAATCGGTGCAGATCATTATTGGGACATAGTGGAAAACGAAGTTGTCAAGGGTCCAGGTCCCACAGCAGCCAAATCAAAGATAGGATACCTCCTTTCGGGCCCCCTCTCCAACAGTAACCATTCAGAGAACCTAAACACGTCTATTTTAAATGTTGTGACTGAGCATCATCAAGAACAATTTGATTTGGAACGTTTCTGGCGGATTGAATCAGTTGGTGTTCAGCCAAGCTCATCAGAAGAAACGGTTGACTTTCTGAAGTACTATCAAAACTCGTCTATCATGTTGGAGGATGGCCGGTACAGTGCAAAGCTACCCTGGCGACCAGAACATCCCCCTCTACCATCAAATGCAGAAATCACTAAGCAGAGAACCCGCTCCATGGTCAGAAAACTAGCTGAAGATCCTAATAAATTACGCATGTACAATGACATCATCCAAGAACAACAATCTCGCGATTTTATCGAAAGAGTGGACAATCCAGAAACAACCAACGGAGTGTGTCATTACATACCTCATCACGCTGTTCTCAAGGACTCTACCACAACTCCTCTACGCATTGTGTACGACTGCAGCTTCAAACGAGGTGAACAACCCAGCTTGAATGATTGCTTACAGCCAGGTCCTCCACTTCTCAATGATCTTACTGGTATACTTCTACGCTTCCGTCTCCACCAGTATGCTATAACTGCAGACATTGAAAAGGCATTTTTACATGTAAACCTAGACCAAGCTGATCGAGATGCCACGCGCTTCTACTGGCTATCTAACACGGATGACCCGGAGAGTGAATTCATTGTCTACCGATTCAAGTCTGTCATGTTTGGTGCCACAAGTTCCCCTTTCATCTTAAATGCCACTCTCAATAAGCACCTCACACAGTCTACAGACCAAGTCAGCATGGATATGTTAAGGAATCTGTATGTGGATGATCTCGCCTCGGGAACAAACGATGATGATTCAGCAGTCAACTATTACCAAGATGCCAGGAACAAAATGTCACCGGTGGGCTTCAATCTCAGGTCATGGAGTTCAAACAGTCCTGGTGTTCAACATATTGCAGCCAAAAATCAAATCCTCGACACTAGTCCAACTAAAAAAGTACTTGGCATGGTATGGGACATAACTTCAGACACGCTACGATTCTCATGTAAACAGGCAACCTCTACCCCCGTTGTCAACCAAGAGAGAGGTGTTACAAGAAACAGCAAAAGTCTTTGATCCACTCGGCTTACTTCAACCAGTCACCGTTGCGGCTAAGATTCTAATACAAGAACTGTGGAAGGAAGGGATTGATTGGGACGAGCCCTTCCACCTTCTCTTGATCAAAAATGGCGTGCTGTAGCAAAGGAGATTGGAGATGCAACCAAACTTGAGTTCCCACGTCGCTACTTCTCTTCTAATGTCTCTGTCGATAGCAGCGATACAGAACTACATGTTTTCGCTGATGCAAGCCAGAAAGCCTATGGAGCTGCTGCTTACTTAGTACGTGGAAACCAGTCATCGTTAGCTATGGCGAAGTCGCGTGTTGCTCCGACAAGGAAGAAACTCACCCTTCCAGAATTGGAACTTATGGCAACTCTAACAGCCGCACGTTTAGCTTCATATCTTCAAGAACAACTGCCAGTTACAAGAGTCACATTGTGGTCTGACAGCCAAATTGTTCTCCACTGGCTCAAAAAAGCACCAAGTTGTTGAAGCCATTCGTCAACACTCGCATCCAAGAAGTAAAGAAGCTGACATCAACTTCAAACTGGAGGTACTGCCCTACAACTGAAAACCCCTCCGATCTTCTCACAAGAGGGATAACAGCACATCAACTAGAGATTTCCTTGCTGTGGAAACATGGTCCCACATGGTTACCAACCAGATCCCAGTGGCCTTCATGGCCTACGACAGAGGTTCTTCACTTATCAGCAACTGAAACCTCTCCTGGTGGGTCTACCACAGACGGCACAGTCCCAGTTCAACAGCAAGGCCTTCATCGCCTGATCAATCCATCGGATTTCAGCAGTTTACCAAAGCTTCTACGTGTTACAGCCTATGTTTTCAGATTTGTAAAACTTCTCCAGAAGAAACTTAGTCAACAAGGCCCAATTACAGCCATGGAATATGATCATGCCATGACAGAATGGGTGAAGACTCGTCAATCTGTTGTCTTTCATGCTGAAGTTAACAACCTCCTCTCGAAGTCGCGACACCGTACAACTTTGGTACGTCAACTTCGCCTTTTCCTTGATGATGGTGGTCTTCTACGCTGTGGCGGAAGGATACACAACGCACCCTTAAGTGGCAACACCAAGTTTCCTCTGCTACTTCCAAGCAAAGACCATTTCACAGATCTTGTAATTCACTCCACCCATGTCAAACAGCTTCATGCAGGTGTCAACTCAACACTCACCGCCCTACGTCAAACTTATTGGGTTCCTTCTGGCCGACAACGCGTCAAAACTTTAATTGACAAATGCGTAACCTGCAGAAAGGTCTCAGGAACAGCCTACAATGCACCAGACCCACCACCCCTTCCCAAGTCAAGAATACAACAAACACAACCCTTTGAAGTCACTGGGGTGGACTACACCGGAGCTCTGTATGTTCGAAATGCTGGAATCGAAACAAAGGTCTACATATGTCTGTTTACTTGTGCAACAACCAGGGCTATTCATCTTGAAGTTGTCGAAGACTTGACCGTTGAAGCCTTCTTACTAGCCTTTCGCAGATTTGCAAGTCGGAAATCTCTTCCAAGGAAACTAATATCTGACAATGCCTCAACATTTGTATCAGCGAACAATGAACTAAAGGAATTGTTTCAATCTCGTGCGCTCAAGGAAACACTAGCAAGGGAAGGCATTGAATGGCTATTCATCCCCAAGAAGGCGCCTTGGTACGGCGGGTTTTGGGAACGCCTCATCGGTCTCACCAAATCCACCATCAAGAAGGTACTCGGCAGAGCTGCAGTCAACCTGTGCACTCTTCAGACAATTGTTGTTGAAGTAGAGGCAATTCTAAACGATCGTCCCCTAACCTACGTTTCCTCAGACATTAAGGATGAGGAAGCATTAACCCCTGCACATCTACTTTATGGCCGACGAATTACGTCATTACCACATCCACCAGTAGAAAGTGACGAAGTGAGTGATCCCACCTACCAAACAAGTACAGATTTACTAAGAAGGGCAAAACGTGTCACCTTACTGATCCAACACTTTTGGCAACGATGGCGTCATGAGTACCTTACCTCCCTCCGAGAGTTCCACAAAGGTTCAGGAATCAACACAGAATCCGTGAAGGCTGGTGATGTAGTTCTAATCCATGATGATAGCCCTAGAGTAAACTGGAAACTAGCACTTGTCACATCCATTAACAGAGGTCGCGATGGACTTGTGCGTTCCGCAAATTTACGCACCGCCAATGGAACAACAAACCGTCCCATAACAAGATTACACCCTCTAGAAGTTCACGCCAAGGAAGCACAGTGTTGCACAGAGGATCAAGCAACCGCAGTAGAAACTCCAACCCCTGTGAGGAGACCACAAAGAGATGCAGCACGACGAGCAATAAGGAGAATTGCAGATTGGGCCAAGGACATTCGCGCCCCCTCCCCCCCGGAGGATGTGAAATAGTTAAATCGTGACATTTGAACGTGTATTTCGTTACCTTTCATGTAATTCGTTACCTGGTCAGCGGTCATTTATGTAATGCTTACGTCACAAGAACAGAACCTTTTTCTGCCTCGCTCTCGCTCTCGTTACTTTATGACCGCCATGTTGTGTTAATGTTGTCTGAAATATACATGTAACTACATTGAGTTCTCTGTCGTATTTACTGCTTCCCCACAGATATCAAAAGCCAATAAGAAAGTCTAGAAACTGTAAAGTAGATGAAGGATGACAATAATTTTATTACCTGTACCAGATCAAGTGACAAAATATCCAAACTGAACAAGGAACTGTTTAATTTTCAACCAAAGTTTCCTCAAATTATATTAACAAAATAGTGTTCTCTGGTTCTTGTTTTCAGAAAAAAAAATTGTTTTTTGCATATCAGAGTTCAGTTAAAATGTGTACAGATAGAAAAACAATAGTCAAAAACCTCACGAAGATCTGTAACAAAACTGACATAACTTATCGTAGTATTCGGTAAAGTGTCTGCGACTCAATTTAATGCCTTGTTGAATTTCGGAGCGGAAGAGGTTTTAGGGCGGCATGACAAAAAATTTCCTGGCTTCAGAGGTGTGTTCTCGAAATTCCTAAGATGAAATAAATTGCCTTCACGGTTAGAAAAAGCTCCCCCTTTCACGAAAGAAGAAAACTGAACCTCTGGCACTCAGGGTAGGCAAAAAAAGAAAACAGTGAAAAAAGACCGCTATCGGAGAAATTATTAAAGTTGTAGACAGTTGTTAAGTGCCATGTACGCTAGAACGTTCAGACTTAAAATGAATGAAGGTCATTGAACAGAAAATAAGATCGCTATATCATTCTACCGTATTCCTGTGGCTTTTAAGTGCATTCTTTCATATTTTTAGCTTCTCTTGCGTTTGCCTTTGCCGCCATTTTGTTTGTTTTTCTTCAGTCTCAAGACTTCGTACCCAGATCCTCTCAGTCTTTATCGTTGCCGCCATTTTGAATAAATTTCCACTCTCCGTGGACAAATCAGTCACGTGATTTCTGCTGTGTGCCAGGGTCTTCTCTCCTGCCGCCGCCATATTGGAAAGCGAGAAGACCCTGGGGACGAGGTTGCGGGAGTAGTATTTGAAGGAGTTGGGGCGAGATGTGACGTAGAAAAATCAACGCGACAAAGCAAGGTAAACAAACGAGGCTAATTTCGCATGCAGGACGAGATATTTTTGGAAGCTTTTGGAGGTTCTTTCTTCGCTTTTTTGACTTAAAGCGAAAGTATGCCTGGTAGACGTTGTGTTGTTCAGGACTGTGGAAACGTAAAGAACGATGAATTCTCCTGATTCGGGCAGCATTAGATTAAAGTGGAAAAGGTTCGTGTCCATTCATCGGAAGGATTTCAACACAGTGGGAAAATTTGCTGTGTGCTCGGAGCATTTTACAAGGGATTGTTTTACGCTTGCTTTTGCGATGAAAGGCATGAAAAGGAATTTGAAGAAGGGGACGCTTCCAACCATTTGGAAAAAATCCTCTCAAACACTATCAAAGCGGAGCCGACGATCGGTGAGTGAAATTACAATGTATTTGCGCTGTGCTTATCACCATTATATTTATTTCCCCATTTACCTGTGACATGATTTTTTCTGGCATCGTTGTTCAATATTCGTGTAATGAATGCTCTGACTATTTGGACTTCCCATATTGTTGCATGTGTTTTCATACTTTTCTGCTTTCTTCTCATAGTTATAGTAAAACGGGCATTTGCGCTGAGTGGACGTGAAGTCAATTCCCCAATTCCCAGACCTTTCCACTCAAGCGTAAAATTTAGAAAAAGTGAAGCTACATAGAAATCCGGCTCTCTATTTTTTGAGAGATTATCTTGCTGTTACTTTGAGATTTGACAGTACTCCAAACTTCCCTCCAAAATGGACTTAGTCTGATTTCTACATTCTATAAGTTCAGTTACTGTTTGCGGGTTTTTTTTCGTTTGTATTTTAATTCTATTTTCACTGTCTGCAAATGAAGCATACATTTTAAGGCAAAGATGCGGTTAAACCTTGCTTCCATTTCTACTTTTGAAAACATCGACATAAAGCTCAAATTTAAACTTGTTTTGAAGGGGAGATATAAAAAATGGTCGTACCTATTTTCATTTTTAGCTACTAAATGAAATTCTGGCTGGTCAAACTACTAATGAGGATGCAGAGGAAGAAGACAATCCTGAAGAAGAGTTGATCTCTTTGAAAGGAAGTTCTGCACCTGAGGAGAGTGCTGACACTATGGGGGCTCCCAATCTCAACCCTGAGGAGTCTCCAGAAGTCAAGGGTGTTCTGAACACAAGTCAGGGTTCTTTGCTTGAGGTAAATCCTGAAAAGGGGGGCTGCATCCCTGAGACTGAGACTGGTGAGATAAGTGTTGATGCTGAGATGGCTTCAGAGGTCCAAGGTACTCCTGGTGATAAGACAACTATCGAGAGCCAAGGGATTTCCGGCACTGATGAGGTTACTGAGACCATGCAGATCCTGGAGGCTCAGGGAATCGAAAAACTGCAGGATATGGATGAAGTTATGCAGATTGATAAATCATTAACGATTCCTGAACTTGAACAGGTTTCTATGGTAGGCGCATAACTCTAATTAATGTTTATTTGCATCGTTGTATTATCATAACAATGGCAAACTGCATGTGCAGTTATTTTACAACAATACTGAAACACAAAAATTCTGAAGTCTTGTTATTACAGCCTGTATTAATGTTGAAAGTTTGTTTTTTGTAGGATACTCCAACTGGACATGCTGGGAACTGCACAACATGCAAAACCCTGAGGAGTGAGGTGACTCAAAGTCACAAGCAAAGTCACAAGCCTGAAGAGTAAGTTAATCTCCAATCAAATTCAGTGGGTTGAAACCTTTAAGAGCATACAAGAGCTGAAGCAGTTGCTGATGGTGAATGCTGGTGAGTCAACAATAATTATTGATGTTGATGAGTCATATAGGCGTAACTGCCTATCTTTATATTTTTATTACATTTTATCAATATTTGATTATTTAATAATAATTAAAATTTTAATGGTAATAGATTTTTTTTAATTCCATTTGTTTAAGCTATTCAAACTGATCCATGGCCAGTAACAAATGAGACAGAGTTAGGGCTAGAGGATGAATCAGAAGATGAGCAGGAAATGCAGGACGATGCGTATGAGGAGTTTGAGTGTGATGAAGACCCTACATGGAGTCCTGAAGAAATCGAAGATGCATATAAAAAACTAAAGGAAGATGATGACTCGGTGAAGACTCATCAGAACCCAAGGTACAAAGATGCAAAATTTATTGCATTTTAACATCTTAGCTCTAAGTATCCTCTGGGAAGTGATTTAGGCCTAAAACTAACTTCCATTATGAGAGGATCTATTTAGAAACAAGAGTACATGAAATTTGTTTTTTAATTTACTCAGATAACAATTGCGAAAAAAAAAAAAAAAAGAAGAGGCATAGCCAGCCCATAGACTGGAAGTCCCAGGCCTAAAAATGTTTGGTTTGTCCACTCAACCACTTGTAATAAATTATGCATCGTTGGGGTGGGCTAGATAGCTTAAGGGCTCAAAGTTGTCATGTGTGCAATCAACATAATTATTATAAAAAAGCATTTTTCAGGATGTATGTGAGAATAAAATCCCAACCCACAATTAGCCAGGTTTACAACAAGTTGAAAAACTGGCAACACCCTGAGAAAAACAATAAAAATGATAATCATTTTTTTTATTGTTATTTTATTATTTCAGATGCTATGATTAAATGAGTATTTCCTTTCAAACATTTTTTACAGGTTGGATCTACAAGGAAAAAACATTCGAGAGGAACCGAAGGGAATTGTTTTCCTTTCCAAACTTCTTCTTTTGTTTCAGTTCTGCCACTTGTGCTTCCTTTCAAAACCCAAACTTTCTGTATCACAGACAGGTACCTTGTTTACCGTAGAAAGTTTCTGCAGAAACTGCAGCCAGACAAAAGTCTGGAAGAGTCAACCAGACCTGCTAGGAAAGTTTCCAGCAGGTAACCTGCTATTAAGTTTTGCAGTGCTCTGTGAGCCGAGTGAAAAGAAAGAAACGATACATTAAAACTGTAATTAAATTCAGGCTGAATTCGATTTAATTTTTATTACTTGTGTACATGAAAATTGGAGCAACATCAGAATTCCCAGCCACTAAACTTGAGTTTAACTGAATGCTAGAAGGACAGGGCTTCACACAGTGGGCAAGTTTGTCATTCAACAAAAAGCGAGTAAGTGGCTGAGAATTCTGAAGTTTGACCCATAAAATTAAGTGTTAACGGACAAGTATTCACGCAACTACTTGGCCCCAATGGCATACATGACACTCTTCAAGAACAAACAGTGCATTTATTATTCATTTTCTTCATCTTCGAATCCACGATAATGGCTATTTTGACTCGGAAATTGTTTCCTGATTTTATTGTAGGCACAACAGGGCAAGGGGTATCGCCTGGAACTACCAATATAACTCCACAGCAGTCTTGTAAATTGGCGATAGGCCACAGACCTCAGGAATCTAGTTAGAGAAATGAGATAACTGTTAATTAAAGGAGGGATTGGATGAAGATAAATAAATACTCCTTTTAAAAATAAGCAGTTGGGGCAATAAAGCCATTTAGAAAATACAAAATGTGATTCTATGAGATCAGTCCACGGCGATAAGCTTAGATGTATCAATTATTCAATGCTATGTACGGTTCGATCGTTCCGATACAAAGTCGACAATACCCCAACTTACTCATTATCACTTTTGTTGCTTCGCCCACGAACAGTTGTGTACGACTTTCCAGCTCGCGTTTTTAGGCCCAGTGCAGCCACTTCTAATACGTGGCGGTTTAAGCAGACGCTTTCAAACACTGGATGGAGGGTTATGCATAAGGTCCGGTCTCCAATGGCTTCTTCCATGACCTCTTCGCAGCAAATGCACTCCTGCGCTTTTGTAACAAGGCTGACAGAGCAGTTCGAGCACGAACACCTGCAAAATAATGTGAAAAATTCGTCAAACACAAGAAAAATACGTCTGTATAAAATTATTAATTGTCTGACCTCTTCAATAAAACTATCGCATAAAATCAGGACTACAGTTAATCACATAGCAACGAAATTGTAAACTTAAACAAAACACAGTCGCGTTCCTCACGCGCACGATTTAACGACGGGTATGTTGAAATTGGAACAAAAAATATAAATCTACATTCCATGATAATACCATACCATTCATTCGCTGGCACCTCTCCCGAATATCTTCGCTGAAACTGTTGTTCCTCTTCTTCTTCGCGATGAACTCTTTCGTTGTAGTCCGCGGCTTCTTCCTCGGTAGCAAGGGGTTCGCAACTGTCGTCGTACGGCGCAAATTCAGACAATTCCCCCATCACTTCGTCAACTGTAAAACTTTCTAGATCACTTTCAGATGTGCAGGAAGAGGAATCCGACGGAGATGACATCTTAAACGTCTTGTTAAAAGGCTCTAAACTCACAAACTTTTCCCAAATGCGAATCTTTCGGTTGATGTTTCTACGTCACAGTGCATAAATCACGTGGTCAAACGCACGACCGCTTTGCGGAGATCTCGCGGGCTATTGCTTTGCGAACTTTGTAATGGCGGACGGTATTTACGCACTTTTCAGTGGGAAATTTCCAGCCCCCGTACGCAAGTATCGTTCCAATTTTTCGCTATTTGTATAATTTTGAACATATACAAAAGATTTATGTTAAAAAAACTCGGAAACAAAAACAAAAATTTTCGTCGTAGTAGCACTTTAAGCATTAATACCAGCGTGGCGGATCGAGCGGCAATCGAGCCCGACAGAGGAATTCAAGTCGGAAGTTGGAAATCGGAAGTCGGAAATCGGAAGTGGGAAGTGGCAAATCGGAAGTCAGAAGTGGAAAGTGGGAAGTAGGAAGTGGGAAGTGGGAGGTCAGAAGTCTAACCATGCAGCATTGAGTCTCAACGGTCAGAAATCAGAAATCCGGAGTTCGAACTTTGTCAAGTCTGAAGTCTGAAGTTTGAATTATAAAGTCTTAAGTCTGAAGTCTGACGTCTAAAGGCGGAAGTCTGAAGTCGGAAGTCGGAAGTCGGAAGTCGGAAGACCCTCTCGGCTTTCGTACATTACTGCTTACATTACAATGGCATACCGGAGTTTGTGAGGAAACGTTGGATGTTAACAGTAGCTCAAACAAGGCAAAATGTTTGAAATTTAATTGTCAGAAAGTCGAATCTACAAAAAATGGCAAACTTCGGCGATCATCCGCGAGATTTCAGACTCTAATCTGGAGACCGGGAGAAACGGTTCAAAATCTGGAGTCTCCCGGATTATCTGGGAGAATTGAAAGCCCTGTGTTATTGATATGAAGGCGTGCAAGGAAGTGAAAATGGGGAATAGTTTACAATAGTACAGGCTAGTCGTTGGCATGCATTGGTCTGCATTCTGTTTACTTCATTGGTGGCAAAGGAATTTCGAGAATGCGCATGAGTAATAGGCTACTTTGAGCCTCTTGTTACCTGAAAAATACGAGTCTTAAAGGGAACCTCCACTTCAACAAAAAGATAACTTTAAATCACAGGAAATAAATGTTACAGTCAAGTCAATCTAAAATATTTTTAAAGAAAGCGTTTGTATCCGAAAGAAATAACTTTTAGATTCGCCTATTTTTGTTTTCAAATTTTGCGGGCGTCGCCATCTTGAATAATTGTGACGTGTAATGGTTGCCCTATTGGTATTAAACAAAAGCTCTTTGTGTCAGAACAACAGAGCAACCATTACACGTCACAATTAGTCAAGATGGCGGCGCCCGCGAAATTTGAAAGTGAAAATAAGCGATTTTAAAATTCACTTTTCCTGATATAAACACTTTTTTTAAGACAAATTTCGAACAAATTTGTTTGTCAACATAATTTTATTCGATTTAAACTTATTCTGTAGTAAGAGTGGAGGTTCCCTTTAAGTCTCTGCTCGATGTTACGTCTTTATTACTGACGACAGAAACCTCAAGCAACCACAACAACAACGGCAACACTAAAGAACGTTAACAAAACATGAACAAACAATGTTTATAACAATCACCGCAATCATATCCGGGGGGGACTCCCATATGAAACGGGCGGGGATGCTCCTGGGGAATTTTGAATTAAACCCCAAAAGGAGACCAATTTGGGCGTGGCCTAACCTTTTTGACCCCTAAAAGAGATCATTTTAAACTTAAAAAAAGTAAAACGAATCGAAAATACATAACTGTTTTATATTTCTTCGCGTGCAACCCTAAAAGAGACCTTTACGGCTGAATATAATGGTTTGAACAGAGCACAGTAAGTGAGACCAAAATCCTTAATTTACACTCTTAAGCGAAAGGACGAGCATCCCCGCCCCTTTCATGTGGGAGTCCCCCCGGGATTCATTTATCTACAGTGGAACCTCTATATAACGGACGATTTTCTTCAACCAGGCCAAAATCAAATAATCGTGTTGTTTCTTACACTTCTCTGGTGTCCGGAAGTCGTTATAAGCAGTTTCGAGCCGTAGGTTTTCTACATTTGGGGGGGGGGGGGGGTATGTAAAAAAACGAAGACCCTAGTCAAATTTTTTGGTAATTGATAATCGCCGTTGTTTCTTACACTCCTCTGGTGCTTAGAAGTCGTTATAAAAAGCAGTTTCGAGCCGTTTCCAAATGATATTGAGTGATATTGAGGTGGGTCTTCGTTTTCTACATTTGGGGGGGTTAAGTGACGAAAACGAAGACTCTGGTCAATCTCATTGATAATGCAAGATCGTTTTGTTTCTTACACATCTAAGGTCGAGATACCCGTTTCTAGCTATTTAAAAGTGATTTTGAGGGGGGTCTGCGTTTTTGAGTCTTAGGTCTTAGGTCTTCGTTCTCTGCCCAACCCCCGAAAGGGACACAAACATGGCGTCTCCATACAAAGCTTTATAAATTTGGGTAAAACGGTTTTCCGAGTATCTCGCATATGAAATAGTGCACAGACCTGATTCTTGCCAAGGATTTTTGTATGTTTATCTTCTTTCATTTCCCAGATTCTAGATTTTCTGTATTAAAGGGTTTCCATTTTTATTTTTGATGGCGTGACACTGTGAAAACCACCGTAGCGTTCGAATGACGTCAGAGTGACTAATTTGCAATTTCTGTCTGAGCTTTGTCATTTTCCTCATTTTAATGACAGAAGACAGACAAAACAACAAAAATATGACATTTTAATGACAAAAGTGTAGTCTGCTACACAGCCCTTTTTAGGGTTGTCCCGCAAAGCTGCTTCCCACTAACGGCTGCTGAGAACTAGACTGCAAAACAGTCGGTTTTTTTCTCAAAATCAGTAAAGAAATCGTGACGTGGCGTATCGTGGCGTAAGAGTTAGCCGTTTGAGGCGTCTCTCCCCAGTCTCGCTCTCTGTTTTCAGCCTCGTTTGACTGCCCGGGGGGGCGGGGGTACTCCCATACATTACCTATACGGGTATGTGCCGCCCAACGGGGTCGTGATTTTGAAGCTCCTGATTTAGAACGGGGTATCCATTTCAGAGACGTTTTCTAGAACGGGGTATAAAAAATTGTGGATCACGGCTTTATCTTCTGCTTAAAATTGTTGCTGATTATGAAGAAGCGTTTATTTGATGTATAGGTCGAACTAATAAGGAAATATCTTTTAAAAAACAGTGCTATTTCAATTTACAAACTTCGTAGAACGGAGTATAAAAAATTGGCCCATTTCTAGAACGGGGTATCAATTTTAGGGGAATTTTTTTTTAGAACGGGGTACCAATTTGCAGTCCCGGGCGGCACATACCCACCCAAAAAATACCCAAGTGCCCCCCCTCCCCCGGGTTTGACTACTCGGGCCTACATAAGAACTGTTTTGCAGTCCAGGTGAGAAACTTTCCCTTTGTGTTTGTGGTCTGACGAACAAACCAATCATGTATAAGAAACTTGGCCACACTTCTTAATTTACGACAAATCCATCAATCGTCGCTGAATATAGGAGGGATGGGCTTTGTGTCTACAAGTTAAGAAAAGGTGTTAATTAAAATATGAGGAAAAGTTCCAAGTTAAAAAGAAAAAGGTTTGATAGACCTACAAGACTCTTACCAGGATCGGTTGGTTCTTTTTAACGTGCATATGTCCGGGGGCACATGTGTGATGAACGTGCTCACTGTGTTGCTCCAAGGTGCACAACATGGGAGGACTAAACTCCCAAGGGTACTGATTTAAATTTTGATTTATAATTTCAATTTATTCTAATTTATAACATCACTTGATGGTTTTTTTTGCAGGGGAAACACGTCCAGCTCTCGCTCTCTCGCTCTCTTTTGCCGCACAAAACATAAAAAATCTACCGCTCGCCCTCGTGAAAAAATTTGAGTTCGACTTGTAGGCAAGTCTATTCGATTCTCAGCAGCCGTTTGAAGCGGCTGTGTGGCAGACGCGCGGACTAACAAAAGTGAGGAATTCGCTAATTTCAGTTTGTTTGTCTTAGTTTCGGGCCTATAAATAGCAACTGCACCCAGCGCTATTGAACGTTAGTTCATTGTGCTCTGTCAGGTCCAAGGCCAAGTCCAAAATTTTACAAGGGGTTTCCCAAAGGACCAAATAAAACCGGGCTGGTCAGCGCTCTCCTTTTCTTTCAAGGGCTCACACTTTGGACCAGGTCCATGGACTACTTTCATGGACCGGGTCCATGGACCCCCCGTTATGGACCGGGTCCATGGACACGGAAATGCAAAAGATTGCCTCGAATTGCCACCCACAAATTTTTCGATTTTTACTTTAAAAAACGTGACTTGATTAGTTTCACAGTACAGTAATGTTTTCTATTTCGTTTTGTTTGTATAGAGCTTGTTTTGCTCTTCTGATTTCTTCAAATTTGAGTTGCAATCTATGTTTATGGTACTATCATTAGTTGGTCCACTTTATGCAAACGTATATCATCGTAGTCTCTCAGGGAGTATTCTGAACGTTTCCACTGTTCATTTGAATGGCATTTGACACCTCATATGACATTATCTATCGAACCTGGACACCCTGCATTAAGCGGAGAGTACAGCATTCCCCGAGGGTGTCCGCTTAATACAGGTTTCACTGTAAGCAGCAAAAAATTCACATTTGCTCAGTCAAAACGGTTTCCTCCAAAGCATAATCCACTTGTCAGAGGAAACAATTCATAAGAACAAGCAACATTTTGGCGTGAAGTAAAAGTCGTGTGTTTACATTATATTAGCACAATTGAATAATACTCATCAATCAAGTATTGTTTGTTGTTGTTGTTGTTTTTAATCTTATTTTTGCTCTATTTCTGTTTTTGTTCATTTATCACTATTTTAAAAAAACTGTCCATATGCGGACCCGGTCCATGACAGGGGGTCCATGGACCCCTGGTCCATGTTTTGTCCTCACCCGCTGTACAAATACCGGCCGCCCGCTTCCCTAACGACATAAATACAGCCTCCTCTTCAGGCGCTTCGTTTTTCGCATGGCAGAGGCGCGAAACAAGTGACTGGTGATGAACCGCAAGGGACCATGGGAAGGGTAGAGACGGCAGGCGAATTGTGTATGTCTAACATGCAATTCGCGATTCGTGCGATATCGGTTTTCACGTGCAATTTAACGTGAAATTCCCTGTGGAAAGCTTTCCAAGATGTCAGAACAGCGCTGTTAATTAACTTCAGCAACTATGCTAGGTAGAAGGGGTAGTAGAAACACGGTATTTTGCCTTCTTTTTGCCATCCCGACATTCTTCGTTTTTAGTTGGAACAGCTTCTTGTGGTTTACACTTTGCCCCATTTTCACAGCGTTGCGAAGGCTGTTTTAATTCGGAAGGGAAGAGAGAGAACGAACCAGCAAACGAAAGCGGCAAGGCTGAACTAGAAAAGACAGAAAACAAAGGAAGAACATTTGAACTTAAAACCACGCTCATTACAAACACCACCTGTTCACAGCATTATTTCCTCCTCATACTGGTATCGTCAGCTCCTTCAAATTTCCAAAGAAGAAAAGATATCCGCAGAACTTGGGGAGTCGACACCGCTTTAGCACCTCGATGGAAGACAGTTTTTCTTGTCGCTCAATCAAGGGCGAAAGAAACGACCGAATCACTGTTGAGAGAACACAGTTCTTACAGAGATCTATTGCAAGGCAACTACATCGACCACTACTGGAATCAAACTCTTAAGATTCAAATGGGCTTTGAATGGTCTGTAAGGTATTGCAATTTCACTTTTCTGTTAAAAATGGACGACGATACTTTTGTGCATACGAAAAGGCTGATTTCCGTTTTGAACACGTTTTCTTCAGAACAGCTGTACTTGGGAATGCTTTGGGAAAAGCCAATGGTAAAAAGAGGCAAAGAAAAATGGACAATTAGTTATGAAGAATACAACAAAACGCTATACCCAGATTTTTGCCCTGGTTTTGGGTTTGTCTTAACCTTCGATGTTGTTAATACGTTCGTCGATTTGTTTGACGATGTCCGGCTCTTTAGATTTGATGATGTTTATGTTGGCATGCTTGCAGAGAGAGCAGGTGTGAACGGTACTTTTCACCCTGGTTTCAGACAAGATCCCTCGCCGCCAAAAGTCTCTTGTAGTCTAGATGAAACAGTTTTCGTGTGGCATGATATAACCGGAGACTGTCTGTTGAAACTTTTTGAAGACACGTTTTAATATCGACCGCGAAATCCTGAGCGTGACCGAAATGCTGTTTTTTACACCATTTTTAGACCTGGTCTCGGTCTCTAACGTCCATGGCAGGGTTCACAAACACAACGTACCTGTTTAAGTAGGTGTAAATCGTGGCATCATCGCTTAGAAATAACGTTGGATGATACATTTCAGTTATTATTCACATATGGGCGATTAATCCTTCCTCCCTAAATACAGCTGGGACTACTTAGGGCTGGCACTACGGCAAAGGACTGATTTATTATAGGCCAATATTTCGGCTACCAAAAATTAATATTAGCCTTCCTCAGAGCCAGAGCTATACTGTACCAAGAGAAAATATCTTTTTAGGGCTCCAAAAATTTAAATTTAAAATTTACATAAGTGGTTAATAATTAACTACAACAATTATTATAAATACTACATGGAATAATTGCTGCGGAGCGACCAAAGGGAGCGAGCAGCAACATAATCAGGATTTAAAAGAAAAGCATAATTATGTTCTTTCATTCATTCATTGCCATGGAATATGCATTTACATTGTTTTTTCACTGTTAATAGCTTGGTTAATGCGGCTGGCGATCATCTTGCCGGTGGAAGTTTCATGGAAAAGGAATAAAATCAAGACTTTTCCCAAAAATTATGTAATCCGCCACTGTGGTGTAGTGGTTAGGTGTAGTCGCGTCGAGCCGAAGGTGCAGGGTTCGAATCCTACCGAATTCTTTATTCCTTCTTTCTTTCTTTTTTCTGTTTTTTGTGTTGTTGTTTTCTATAAATATATAGCTAAATAACTGGTACTTAATAAAGTGCAACAAACAGCAAGAAAAGTATTGCGTTTCCAGGGAAAATATCGTGCACCGTATATTAAATATATGGATAAACAATCTGAATTTCTATTATTTCCTACAATTTACTGTGGGAAAACCAGAGTTATAACCACTTGATCATTTTCTAAACAACGTTCCCACGAGTTCTTTCTATAGACTGATAGTAATTATTCTAGTACTTTCCAACATGTAAATAGGACATTCAATATCATTTTCGATTCTTTTAAGTCTCACTGCCTAACTAATGCCAGTATCAACAGAATGTGCCGCAGCATTACTATCTTTTAGATACCCTAGTATACAGGTAAATGATTATACAATAAAAATAGAAATAGAAATAGAAACAGTTCAATGTTCATTCCTTTGGTTCAGACCATCTGGTGACAGGGTTTTGCCTCTATCTATGAGGTATGCTTAATCTCTTGCCTTGTGGTGCGACATGCTGAGAGTGGGTTGTAATTCCAGCGGAATAAGTTCCATGTCTGTGATCGAGTGGCCAGGTTGGTTAAAGTGGGAAGGGATTGCTGCTGTGGCGTTTGCGTGGAGTGGATTGTTTGTTGCCTGTCTATGTTCTTTGAAGCGTTCATGAAGTGTGCATTTAGTTTCATCTATATATTGTTTTTTACATCTTTTCCATTGGATCATATATGTTAGGTTTGTTGAGTCACAAGTAATGTGATGTTTAATTTGTCTTGTTTCTCCTGTGTTTGTGATAGTGTATGATGTTTTCCCATGGTTTAAATAGGTGAAACTAAACGCACGCTCTGTGAACATAGATCATAGAGTGACAACAAACAATCCACTCCACAGAAACGCCACAACGGCAGTCCCTTTCCACTTAAATCAACCTGGCCACTCGATCGCAGCCAGGGAACTTATTCCGCTGGAATAACAACCCACTCTCACCATGTCACGCCGTAAGGCAAGAGAAGCGTACCTCATAGATAGAGGCAAAACCCTGTAACCAGACAATCTGAACCATAAATATTTTATTATTATTATTAAGGAATGAACATTGAACTGTTTCTATTTCTATTTTTATTGTATAATCATAATTTACCTGTATACTATTCTATCTAGTGAATATAAAATTGTAGTTAATTATTGTTAACCACTTATATAAATTTTAAATTTTCTCTCGGTATAGCTCTGGCCCTGAGGAAGGCTAATTTTGTTTGCTGAAATATTGGCCTATAATAAATCAGCCCTTTGCCGTAGTGCCAGCTGTGCATTCAGTTTTGTTTTATTTTACACTCTTTTTTTAAGTCATGTTAAAAAAAGGAAGAAATGTGCCCTAGGCCCCGTTTACGAGGGAGGTTACCCCTGGTGCTGAGGGTACACTAGCAAGATGGTTACCCTACCTGCCTTGTAAACGCTGTGCTAGGGATAACGCCCTAGAAAGTGAGATAATTATTTGAATGTTACTTATTTTATAGGATATTTTAAGAAGTTAACCTGATATGTTGTATATACCTCCAGTTGTAATTTTAGTCCTTTTTTTTCTAATAACAAAACCCCTGTGCTTGAGTTTGTATGAGGGGTTTTTCTTTCTGTGTGTTTTTGTATTTCTTTTCTTTTCCTTTTTTCTTAATATGTAATATTATTTAATAACGCCTTTATTTATAATTTTTGTACTGCCTAGATTAGTGCCATAGCTATTTTTAGGGCATAAAGTATTGTAAGCTTTATGGATCTTGAATAAAATACATTGTTGTTTTTGTTGTTAACTTGCCTTTCCGGGACAACTTTCCTCTGTCATGCGGCACAAGTAAACAGGCCGTAACCAGAAAATAAAGCTTTATTCGCATTTACTGTCAGTATGTATTACAAACTTCTTAACAGTCTGGTGCCAGTTGTTCGAAAAGGGGATGAGACCCTATCCACTGGATAAATCACTATTCACTGGATAGCGCAATAATTATTGGTATCCCCAATACTTATCCGACGGGTAGTGATTTATCCGAAGGATAGCGCTGTCCATCTTTTGACCCGGGGCCTAAACGATACATTTCAGTGATCAATGAAATGATGAATTTAATTTTATCAGCCCCTGTGAATATGTCTCAAATTGGTGTTGAAATCATGTCGCTTGAAATACTACGCTCTGTGATAAAAATACAGTTGTTAGCCAATTGACGGCTGAATTGACCACCTTGCTTGTAGAATTCTATTAAACTGTAGCTAACTATGATCATTGTCTGGAAGGGTATTTTCGGCACCCGGACTATCCAGAATATGACCAAAATACGGTGCGTGATTCAGGAAAACGCAAGATATTGTAACGGGAAATGGGATTTTACAGCTCCCCAGGAGGCGGTAACACGGGACGTGGAATTTTTTTTTGCCTGTAAGTACATGTATGTTGGGAATAGACTATTTTACAGTTGTGGACTTAGCTCCCTAGCCTTCGAGTGAATGTGAGGCTGACGGTGACCTTGTTTTGATACAAACCTCCTTTGCTTTGTTATGGAAATTGTCCTTGAAAAATACTAGTTAGCATAAGAATAACTTGATTTACATAATAAAGCAGGAAGGTTTGTAGCAAAACAAGGTCAACTCCAGCCTCGCTTCCATCCATAACTGTAAAATGGCCTATTGGAGAACTCATACGTTTTAGCGGGAATGGGCAATTTGCTCTATAGGAGGTAAAGTGACATTGTTTTTATGAAAGTGAAAGATATATGACCTGGCCTTCGAAAAACGATTAGTAGGTCATATCTTAAACAAAATAATAGTCTTTTGGTTTTTCAAACCCACACCATTTTCTTAAAATAGCTGGTCACGTGACCAAAATGTGATTTTTAAAAATTATGAATTACCTCTTTCTGGACACAAATTTGCACTTAAACTTCAAGGGAAATATTGAAAAGATGATGTGGTAACGTTTACAGCACATCTGAGCGCAACTATCAAACGTTTAACAAGATATAAGCAAAAAGAAGTTTTGGCGGCCATGGGCCAATACAAGTCATACTACTTTGTTTAAAAGTCAAAGTGCCATAAAATATCTTCCTTAAATGCGTTTCCTCTCAAATTTCGGGTGTAAGATAATTTTCATGTGCTCTGTCAAATTTTGGCATCAGCAAGATTCCAACTCTTGTTTAAAGGAAGCATTGGTAACGTGTCCTCTAAGTCCAGTGCAAGTGGCCTATTACTAATCAACCGGGCACGCGTTAAGTGTTGTCTCCTTTTTAATCAAACTATAGAGTGTGCCTTGTTCTTATTTTATTTTCTTGTTTCTGGAAACAAAAGAAGAATTCGGGAAAGTGATGAAAAAATAGCGGGATGCGGGATTTTCGGGAAAAAAAAGCGGGAATGCGGGATCAGGATTCCCCCCCCCCCCATCTTCCTCTCCCCTTCAAGACCTTGTGTGATAAAATATTGTGAGCAGAGAACTGTATGACAGAAGCGAGCTAAGTTTAGAGTGATAGTATAATGGATAATGTAGCCTCCTACGACGTTCTTAGGGGTTTTTAATGAATAAACTCATGGATTGGAAGCGATCTGCCATTTTCACGCAAGAGTGATCACAGGAAGGAAAATAGCGTGGTCTCATTTACGCATGAGCAGAATATTATTTGCCGCCACACACTTAAAGCCACACACACAATGCGCAAGAACATGCAGTTATTTGCAGGTCACGTGCTGGGCTCTCGGCCAATAAAAAGGAGAAAAAAATGTGCATCGAATGATAATAGTTGTTATTTAACTCTAAATGTCACTATCCATGCGGTTATGGATGCTAGTGGGGGATTTCAATCCAAGGAATTTCTAGATTGCTCTAAGTATCAGAGGTTTATTTTCAAAAGTCACTGGAATCTTCGAAGACAACTTCAAGAATAGTCTCAAGAAATGTGATTCTAGGGTGAGGATCGACTCAGCTGTGAGTAACATTTCGCTTTATCTACCGCTTAACCTGTTCCAGGTGTTCAGATGGTAGAGCGCAAAGTTATTACTTTCACCATGTTCGTGTGCAGCAGCACCCAATTTCGCACCAAAAAAGTCTAAATTTAGGGAGAAAAAGGTAGATTCCTGGTACGGTTACACTGAAGCATTCAAAATAGCTCATGCACGTTAAACGAGCCTACGTTCTAATACGAGTGGCACAGGCACGAACAACAAACGAATACGCCATTTACCTGAGGGGAAAAAAATTCTATTATTACGGTGTATAATCTAATTAATTAGCTGTGACTATTCCGTTTCTCTGAAAACTTCACGGTCGTATGATTGTAGTTTTCATCCAACAGCTTTGAATCACGAGTACAGAAAACCAGCCACTGAATTATAGGCCTTCCGACGAAGAGCAGGAGAAAGCGGTGAAAACGTCTGTCCGAACAGTAAAGAAATTTATACAGGCTTTAATCTCCCACAGCTCCGGGGGCTGGGGTTGCAAGGGGGGGGGGAGGGTGTTTTTCCAAACCCGGTCCCTACCCCTCCACCCATTTGCAATCTTGCTCGCGTAGGCTAAATCCTTGTTACAAACGTTGAGGAAAGCCATCCAAAGAAACCTCGAAGCTCTATAAGAATGGCCGGCCATTGCGAGGCTATCTGATATCAATACATCCATTCTAGCTTGTTGCAGATACCGATACCTATAAATACAAAAACAGTTGTATAGGAGGTCTTTTTACTTCTATCCCACGCTATGAAATATCTATCCCATTCGCAAAGAAACTACCCCGATGTCAAGAATCAAAGGCAATTTTGTAAGCCTCATCGTAATGGGACACAAAATGAACGTCAAGTCCTTCTTTTACAAACTCCGGCACGTCGGCAAAGTCTTTTCGATTTCCCTCAGGGAGAATAACACAGCTTACATCTGCTCGGCGAGCCTACAACAAACAGTAAAAAATGGAATGGTAGTTATAATCACATGGAAAACAAATTACACCCAGCTCAAAGAAGTGCTCAGGGAAAAAAATTAATGGTAACTGTGAGTGTTCCCTTCTTTCAAGAAAACTGATTTTTGAGTAGCGTTAATTTGGGCCATGAGCGCTTGTTTTAAGCCTGGACTCCACCGCGAGCAGTTATCTCGCTGAGAACGCCGCAGAACGAGACCCCTAGTTTTTATAGGCTTCACTCGGCAACCAAAACAAGAGAAAATGCCTGTTCTAGGCTCATTTCTTCAAGGAAACTCAGGAGGCTACCTCAGGTTAAACTTTCATAGTAAACCATACTCCTCTAGCTCTAGAAACATTGTTTCACTTGAACATCACACAGTTTTTGGGAACAGTTCCATCAGATTCGGATAGTGACAGGCCACACGTCTCCTGTAAAATTGACCCAATTTATAGTAACACTCACCGCAATTGTCTTTTCTTTTATCCCTCCAACGGGAAGTACCTACGGATAGAAGACAGCCACGTGCATTCATTAATCCCGCCCTTGGTTCTCAGCCGTGGTTAATGATAGCAACCTCGTTTAGAGTACAGTGGAACTCCGCTTTTCGGACACCCGTATATAACGGACAGCTTCGTTTGTTCCAACAAAAAGCTCATATATATTCTCTAAAATTAACCCGCTTAATACGGACAACGGGCTTTTTCCAATTTCCCGAGTTACAAACTCCCCGGCATCGTCAACCCAGCATTACGGATACTGTTTATCTGAACACTGTCTATCATCGAATAACTTGCTCGTGAAAACCTAACAGAAACGGCCAGTGACCGTTCAAAGATTCTGTCTAATATCCAGTCCGCCTAGTTGACAAGAGTCGCAAACTAGAACCGTCAGCACCAAGTACAGTCGCAGATTCCATTGTCGTGTTTAAAGAACAATAAGCTACAATATACTTATAATAAAAAATCGCGAGGTTTCTTTACGCTGAACTTGTTACAGTCACAGTTTAGAAATTAAACAACGTTTTCTCGGAAAAATGTCTGCTTTCGTCTTCGAATTGATACACAAATTGACGTTTTTTCGGACAGCCCGCTTAATACGGACACCCGGCTATGACATGTTGCTTTCGCGTCCATAAATTAACCGGGTTCCACTGTACGTGATTGACAGCAAGCGAACCTTAGTTCAGAATTAATTACAATTTGCCCTGGTGGAAGGTAAAATATCAGCTATATATTACAAAACCCGGTGAGATGAGCCTCCTTTTGTCTTCTTGATCTTGAGTGAGGAGCAGAAAAGGAGGTTCTGTCTGAATCGCGTCAAGCTGCCTTGGAGGTCGCCACAGCCCGAACTTCCGGACTAGTCTTGTTTTCTCTCGTCAAACTGGTTTTTCCGAGTGCGAGCATTCGCCTATTGATAAATCGATTATCATAACCAAGCCTGTTGTAGCAAGCACACGGCTATAGGTCTGCATGGGGTTCGAAAATGTATCCTGGCAACATGCCACGTATGCTCAACAAAGATCTTACTCGATTCATGCAAAGTACGCTAAAATCCAGGAGGCAAAAGAAAGGCTCTGCTGAGAAGTGATATTATAATTACGAAAGAACAAAGTACCTTTCCAGTGAGCGAGACTTCTCCTGTCATGGCTACATTCTGTCTGACAGGTTTGTTTGTCGCCAGCGACAGGAGCGCTGTGATGATGGTGCAGCCAGCTGAAGGCCCGTCTTTTGGGGTAGCTCCCTACCAGCAAACAATAAATAAAGAGAGTCGAATGAAATAATAAATTCCTGAGTTCTAAACACTCCCCACGTTCAAAGCAAGGCCTGATGGAAAACCTTTCATATCAGTATCCAAAGAATTCAATTTTCTTAAAGAATCATTTTTGTAGAAAACTGCGCACTTAGCTTCGTTTTGCAACAAAGGCTTAGGGCAATTCGCAAATGGCATACTGCGTGATTTGCGTTGCCGCGCTTTGTGATTGGCTATTAAAAACTTGCGCCGCTTTCCCAACCAATCAGACGTGTGAGTATTAGTTGGTCCTTTTGCTTTCTGGGCATCTTGCAACTGGCTGCGGTAAACAGGTTACAGTAAAAAGTCAAGCAAAAAACGCGTGGAATTTGTAAAACAACATTAAAGTACAAGAAGAGTTGGTACAGCATTGTTTTCCTCACCTCTGGAACATGAAGATGAATAGATGCACGCTTAAAGAAGTCGTTGTTAGGGTCTTCTCTGCTCAAAAAGCCCTGAAGAAAATTAAACCGTCAAATTCTCAATTGAGTGGCCACCCTTTACGATTCCACCTACAGACACAATATCGATACTTTTTTTACCATATTCTCCGGTTTTCACAATTGAGTTAAATTATTGACGAAAAGAAATTCGACTGCTTCTTTGGACAAAAAAGATTGCCGAGATTATCTTAGTTGCGAGACACAATGTTGATGAAAACTCATTGTCTAGTTTCAAACCGAGAGGGGCTGGGTACGAGTCCGTTTATTACGAGACCCATTTACGGTAGTCAGAGTGAGCACATTGAAATTAGCAACATTCTCAAGTTTGGTTCCGGGCCTATTTTGAACGAGCAGACAGTATACCTCAATGAAAATTGTCGGTACACTGCGCGTTTCTTAGCCTGCGAAAACATCCGTTTCTCCTCGCTCTTCGTCGCTGAGGACGTTTCGCGCGAAACGTCCTCAGCGACGAAGAGTGAGGAGAAACGGATGTTTTCGCAGGCTACGCGTTTCTAATACCTGTATATAGAAATTCGAACCTTAGCGAATGTATAAGCTATACTTGAGCTCTCCTTCATCACATCCCCTAGCTGGCCTGTTACATCCAGAGACGGCCTAGCATCTTTCTCATCACTTGACAAAGCTTCTTTAAGTGTTGTTTCGATATAAAGGGTGGAGCCACCTGTAGATACAGGAAAAACAAGTTGATTATTTACAAAAGGAAAAAGTGACTTGAGGATTTGGCTATAGAGAATGTGTGATGAGAAGGTCACTCCAATGATCATCAGTCCGTGAGTGAGCTAGCTGAAGACAGTAACTTAGTAGGCCAGCCATATCAGTTCTAGACTGCAAAACAGTCGGTTTTTTTCTCAAAATCAGTAAAGAAATCGGTAAAGCGTGGCGTAAGAGTCTTCGCGCGCGAGCCTCACACGCCCCAGTCTCACTCTCTGTTTTCAGCCTCGTTCCGGACCTTTTGTTCGACTGCTCGCGCGTACTTGAATACGCAAAAATACGGACTGTTTTGTAGTCTATATCGGTTCGTCATTCAGTCAACCAGCCAGCCAGGCACTGGGTCAAGTCGCGGTTGTTCAAACGTTGGATAGCGCTATCCACCGAATAAATCACTATCCAGCGGATAAACATTACGGAAACCAATTGCACTATCCACTGGATAGTGATTTATCCTGTGGATAGCGTTATCCATGTTTCGGACGACTGGGGCCAGGGCAGCCACTCGGTCAGTCAGGCAGAAACCCAAGAGGCAGTACTCGAAAAAGTTTTCTACTGGCAGGCTTTGCCCCGAGGTCCAACCCCTTACCCTTTTACATATCATTGTAGACAGAAAAGGTGCCCCTTTAGTATACCTTCTATTAACAAATGGTACCCCTTTCACAGACCTAGCTCAGACCTTTGCAACCCTTTTAACCGCTAAAAATGCAGCCTTTAAATTATGAATAAATCACAAAACTAGATTGTTTTCTTGACTTTTTACAACCATAAAATGCAGCCCCTTTGAGCCTTTTTACATTCGGAGAAAATGGCAGATTTCCCTACCCTTTAATGTACTTAGATCATTAAAATCCCTATCATTTCATATGCCTAAAGCCTAAAAAAGGTTCCCCGCTCGGGCGGAGCCTCCCCGTTTAGGCCATTATAGGGAGTACCCCCCCCCCCCACAACCCCCAGGGTCAGACAAACAGATACCAGTCAGCCGACTTGTCAGTCAGCCACTCACTCAGTCAGTTAGACACTCGGTCTGTCAGTAAGTCAGTAAGTCAAGGTAGAACGATCTCACTAGCATTTTCACATCGATAATAGCCTTTATCGAACTTGTCAGTAAACACTATCAATCTTGAGATTATAGCCCACTTCTAAAAGGTTCACCAGTAAAAGTGATGATGATCATACATGCTATATATTATTATCAGTCAGTCCGTCTGTCGAGGACGCATTCAAAAGTTGTCTCATTCGTTTCAATTATTTTTGATTCACTGATATCAACAAAACATGCAATTGTGCTGCTAGTAGTTATAATTAAACCATTTGTGCAACTTAAAGATAAGCAAAAGCTACATGTAGCGTGGTTAAAAGAGGCAGAGTGGAGTGGTCACCTACCTAGTGAAGTCCAGGCAAGTCCCATCACGACCCCGGGCGGGGTTTGATCATATATCTTGTCCGTGTTAAATAATGGTTTGCCAACATATTCCTGAAGGTTATCTGTTGTAACTTCTACCGCTCCTTCTACACCCTGCACTATTTTAAGGGCAGCTTTACGGAATATCTATGAACGCAAACATGAAATGAAGTTTGGAAGAGAGTTCACACTTGTCTGATTTCTAGCCTGCACGGCTGGCACAAAAACGCCACAGTGTAGAAGGATTTGATACGAGTAGAACTGAGAACACAACACTTTAATCACTACAAGACAGTAAATCTATTCTGGTACAGAAGCTACGCATGTGTTATTCCTCGGAGCGGTTTTTAGTATTATCTACTTCATATATGACAGCATAAACTGTCCCACTACAGTCCACCCCTTCTTGGGTCAAAAATTTGAAAACTTGTTAGCAAAAAAACAAAACGAAAGTTCCTTCACGAGTCCACCCCTTCTTGGGGAGTTAACTGTTAAGTTCACGGATTAGTATTATCTACTTTGTCTTCATATATGATAGCATAAACTGTCCCACTCAGCGGGGGGGGGGGGGGGGGGGGGGAGGAGGGGCAGAAAAGTGCGAAAAAGAAAAGGAAATGGAGTACTTGCCATCCCCTTCACGTTTCCGCATTCTTTTCGTAGTCTAGGTTTTTGTATATTACCTTTTCTATATGTTTTTGTAGATTTCGGACTCCATTTTCCCGGCAATATGATTTGATGAGTAGTGCGAGTGAAGGATCTTGTATGATCACTTGCTCCTCTGTTATCCCCGCACTCTTTCTTGCTTGTGGAATAAGATAAGTCTAACAAAAGTGAGAGAGCATAGTCATTTCGCGTATGTTTATGGGGGCACTAAAACAGATAAAAAACAAGCTTGACTCAGACTTTCTCTTCTGGATGCCAACCCATGTAAAGGAGGACCGAGTAGTACCTTTAAGCCCAACTGTATGTGGATGACAAGGAACCCATTCCCTGGGATACCACTAACTGTCGTTTATAAGCCCTAACCTCATACGTCTTCGTAAGAGGTTTTATTTAGGTGAGGGGCTTATATCCGAGGGGGCTTTTAACCGAAAAACGAAAAGCCCCTCGAAACAAGTTATAACAGTGCTGATAAAAATATGTTTTGTATTTACTAGTTTTTAATTTAGGTTCAAATTATAATAATGAATCGATTTCATGTCTCTCAAAATAAGAAAAACCAGAGGAGGCCTATGTCCGGGGCAGGCGGGGGACTAATAATCGAATGTATTTTTTTGTTTGCAAGTTGATGGGCCTATTACCAGGGGGATTTAAAAGCGGAAGTTTATGATAGTCCCTTATTTACAGCTCGCAGTCACGTTCCCTACATGTACTTGATGAAAAAAGTTATGGGATATAACTTAAACAATATCAGAGATGGAAAAGGGCATGAGATAATTATCAAGTCAATAAAGAGAGTTGCGGAAAAAAGAGAAACCTAGAACAACATCCTTGTTTTCAGGAAGTCTCAAGTATTCAATCTCCTGCCAAACTTTCGGTCGAGCTCTTGGATGTCGAGATACCTCCCTAGGCTGCTATTCAAACTGTATTCCAAGATGGCAGAAACCATATAGGATATTTAGACAAGCAGTTTATATCCGGTTTGAAAGGCCTTTGGAAGGAGTCCCGAAATTTTGGTGGATAACATACCTCTGTACTAACGTTTTGTTCCCAAAAAGAGATGCCATTTTGTAATGATCTCCTTAAACCAACTGGTGTAAAGTATTGGATCTCACACAATATTCTGAACTCTAGGCAAATTTTGTTCGGTCATTACACTGTACCTCTGATTTATGCATAGGAGGCTACCAAAAGCTAAAGAACACTGACTGACCTTGGCAATGGCCTTCTTCTCGTCTTCCACGTACCCTGATACATTTATTATTTCCATTCTGTCCTTCAAGGCGCCAGGAATGGTGTCTGTAACATTGGCTGTGCATATAAACAACACCTGTGAGGAAAATACATTGGCAGCGTTCACGTTACTTAAGAAAATAAGGTTTAACACCGAGAGGAGGGTAACGGAGTAGTACTTTCCCCAATTCAAAATATCTTGAAAATAGGCCATTTTACTACTATACCAACAAAATCCTTCGGGGTATTGCTTTCTTGTGTAAAGTCGGGCTTTTGTTAATTAAACCTCACTGGGACTACCAAATGTAAATATGAAAAGAAAAAAACAAAATGAATTCAAGGTCATAGCAGTAAAAAGACGTCATCGTGCAAATGGCCGATTGATCCACCATTTATTAATTGCGGCCACTTCATAATTTTGTTATGAGGACGAAATCGAGAATGGAGACATTTTTCTCTGAGGCATACAAAATGATAAAGAAAATATTATCCTTTCATTCCTTGTTCATTACCTTAGAGAGATCCACAGGTACATCTAAATAATGATCCAAGAAGCCTGAATTCTGCTCAGGATCAAGAAGTTCCAGCAGAGCTGAAGCAGGATCTCCTTGAACACCACGCCCTATTTTATCAACCTAAAAGATACAATAAATAGAGGACATTACACGATCACGCAAAGATATGAATTTTATATCAAGTGGCAAAACAATATTTTGCGAACGAGCGCAGTGAGTGAGAAAAATATTTTTTTGCCATGAAAAAATAAAATTCATATCTTCAAGCCGCCATGTAATGTTCTTTTTATTATATAGACAAAAAGGCATCAATAAAATAATAGAGGGAAATGACCGAAATTACATCATCGATAAACTCACGAGTGAGATTATGGAAAATAAACCACTCAGGTCCCGGATGTAGTTTTTCTGAATTTTACGAGTGGTATATTTTCCAGTAAAACACTCGTGTCTATATAATAAACAACTAGGGGCTACACGTCACATGGACTGAAACCTGAAAAGTTGGGCCAACTTTTTCAAGTTTTAATTCTCTGCCTGCAAAAATCAGTAGAAAATTATCATGGTGAGTACTCTCTGATGAAGTTTGTTTGAAATCTTCTTCGTAACTCTACAGGTCAAGCATTTTGTGAAAGGTACTGAGCAATGGCTTCAACACAGAATTGACCTAAAAATGCACTGTGAGCCACATCCTCATGACATTAGCCCCTTTAATACGAATTCACCTGGAACATCTCACTATCTCTCAGGAAAGACAAAAACACATCTCAAGCGGTGATATAACATCTCATTTTTGAATGCTTTGAGGCCTTACCTCATCAATAAGTATCAGAGGATTTTCCGTTCTGGTCTTTTTTAGACATTGGATTATTTTACCAGGCATTGCTCCAATGTAGGTCCTCCTAAAGAAATAAGTGAGTACAAAAAGACGAAAAGTAAGTAAAATGTTTGTTTGTTTCAACACAAATTTTCAATAGCCATAGACAATATCTTGAGTCCAAGGCTCATTTAGTACTTTGACATACCTACAACTAGAAAAAACTGAATGGATCAAAAAGTAAAGAATGTATTCCAAACAAACCTGTGTCCCTTGATCTCAGCTACATCTGTCATACCACCAACACTGAACCTAAAATACTTTTTAAAATGGAAGACAGACATTAAGGCCATTTACACGAGAGAAAATAACAAAGACGCATCTTACATAAGATGAAGACGCAAACTATCCCGTATAAACAGCACATTTTTTCGGAAATTTAGCTAAGACATGTCTTATCTAAGAACAGGTGTTAAGGCTGTTCTAAAATAAGACACGTCTTAGCTAAGTCACGTCTTATTTTAGACGTAATGTGCCGTTTACATGGAAAGTTTGCGTCTTATGTAAGACGGGTCTTATTTTTCCTCGTATAAATGGCCCAATCATATCATTGTACCCACATAACTATGTATTATTGATAAGCATATTTTCAACATTAAAGCTATTCTAGGATAATTCATTGTTGCCATACAATATCAACTGGATGCACTAAGACTGAAACACATAACTATAAACAGCACAATATTATCTACCTACATACATACATACATATCCTTTATTTAAACAAAATATGGTTTAAAGCTCAAAGCTTGTGGGGTTGTGTAAAAATACGTTTACCTAATACGTTTACAGGGCAGAAGTAAAATAAATTCTTTATATATACCTGTCTGTTTAGGGCTCTTGCTATAGACCTGGCAATACTTGTTTTTCCTACTCCTAAAAGCCATAGAGAGAAATAGCTTAGAGTGGTCTGACACATGTATAGTCTTCTACTGCCACATTGTACCAACAAAAAAGCTAACCACATGTATATACCAAGCTTTTTTGCAAGGGAGGTAGGTTCCAAATGTGTAAATCGGCACTCAAACCAGTAAAATGATGCCATAGTGCAAATATCGCTTGTGATGTTAAACAAAACATGACAAACTCATTACTTAGACACCACCTTAGGACTGAATACTCATTCCAAATGTAGGCTCATGTACCCATTGTTGGCAAACAAACCACTGCTGAAACCACTGACATATCAAAAGCTCAACTATGGCTGATTTAAACCAAGTGAAAAGACAGGATGGGGGTGGGGGAAGGTTCCAGAAGCCCTTGACCCCTCCCCCCCCCCAGGGGTACACCACTGTTAGCATCCCTTGTTGGGTCACTATTGACAGATGGATATAGATTACTAACCTGGAGGGCCTGTAAAGCAGAGGATTTTACCCTGAACAGTTGCATTTAGCTGGCTCACTGCAATAAACTCCTAAAACATGAATGGACCAATTTCAATAATTATTATAAAATTCTCTCTAGGCTCTGAAGCTTGGGGTATGGTATAAAACAAAAGAAATCACATTCAGATTGAGGGATGAATAATACATTTGTTTCATTTTATTTGCCCATGCCTTTGGGCCAATAAGTATTTGAAATGTTATTGAAACAAACAGCTATTCAAACAGTTGAAAACATCAGTTTACTTAATGACAGGGCCAGGCCTGAAAATAGTTTTTTTTTCAGACAGGGCATACGTCCCACTAGGTCACCATTTCACATAATTATGGCACAAATTATGCTGACTTTCAACTTTCAATTAATTTTCTTTAAATGCAAAGCAAATCATCTATTAAAAATGATATCCTTTATATCATTTATTTGATCCGTCCGATCATTTTTTTCGACCATAGGTACGATTGTTCTCAGATGTGGGACAATGTTTAGTCAGACATTTTCTGCTGACAGACTGTTATTTTGTATCTCTGCAGAACTGAAATTAGTTTACTTGTTAACTATTTTTAATTGACATTATTTTTTTATACAAAAAATTTTTTTAAGAAGGACCATAACACTGTAACCCTAACTGCCAATACATGTACATAAAAAATGGAGAAGTGTTAAAGTGTTTCACTTGCAATTTCAACTTGAACATATATGCATGTAACATTAATTTGCCTGATCTTACCAGTATCCTGTCTTTAATATCTTGTAAACCGTAATGATCTTCATCAAGCACTTGTCTAGCTTGACTGATATCAAAATTCTCTTTACTGTGAATACCCCAGGGAATGCTGGTTAACCAGTCTAGGTAATTTCTGGTAACACTAAAAGGAGAGAGTGCCAGAGTAGCTTACCATTAATTTCACTGCTACACTGCCTTCAGAATCAAAACACTTGGAAATAGATTATGCAAACACAGCGCTTAAGCACTTTATAGAGGCTCTGTTAGGGTAAAATTATGGCAAGCAACATCTGGGCCTTGAAACAGCAACAACATAAATGGCAAAGATGGGTTAAAACTGCGACAGAGAAAAGCGCAAACACAATAGTAAAATATTGAAAGCGACATGTCTCCCTCCTCCACACGCAAAACGACAGGTTTTGAAATTCAGACTAGGGACATGCATAACCCCCCTAAAAAGAGGGCCCCTTTATAATGAAACTGAGCTATACTGTTGCCAAAAACATGACAGACAGTCAGACTTCACATTCACTGATAACAATGTTTTCCATGAATGTGAAGTTGTGTTTTGAAAACCATATTTCCACATAAGGTAGCGGCACTGTTTCAGATCTGCATGGTTTTACTGATGGAAATCTGTTTCAAAGTATTTTGATTTTGAAGGTTCACATGTACATTTCAACCAAGAATTAGCTAAAGTCTGTTGTAAAAGTTTACTTTACTATATTACTGTGAATCTATTTGGTTTCAGAGACAAAATAATTTCCAATCAAGGTTTATATGCTTATTGGTCAGATTCAAAGTTTTTTGCAGGCTTACGTCGAGATTTATGAGATTTTGACATAAACAACATATATAAAAGTAATGCAAAGGTCCTAAGTAATTTGAACTCACTTAAATTCTGATGAATGTGCATCAAGATAGGCTAATTTAGTCAGTTCTTCTTCAATAACTTCTTCAGCATGTCTAGGTACATTCAAATCTTTTATTCTCTCACGAAATTTCTCTCCAACAGCATCCTTGTCTTCCTTCTCTAAGCCAAGTTCTCGTTTGATTATCTTAAGCTGTTCTTGAAGCAGGAATTTCTTTTGTTGTTTGTTGACTTTTTCTTCTACCTACAAAGGACAGATAATACAATAAAATTAATATTAAAAAAAAATTCTCTCTTAACTATGAAATTAAGGTAGACCAGGACAGGGCTTTAGCCTTTTCCAAGAAGTAAGTAATAATTCAAGGAAGGTTTTGTACATGGTACATACATGCATGTTAAGTATTAAAAAAAAATGTAAAAGTTCCTCTTCCTTGGCTGCAAATCACCACATCAGTTAATGACTCGTCGCACAAGAATCTGGTCACTTTTGTTTTTAGTTGATCCTCACCTCCTTGCCTAGTTGTTGTTGCAACAAACAGACGGCCAGTTCTTTCTTCAGCAGTTCAAGAGTAAGGCGTAATCTCACAGGAATCTTGGTTTCTTCAAAAACTTCCTGAAGCTGTTGTGTTTCACCACTGGTCAATGCAGCACCTTTAGTTTACATGTATGTCAAAACAAAATCAAGAAAAACACTCAAAAAATGTGTCAGATACATTGTAAATGTTAGTAAATTGCACCGTACCAGTTAAACATGTAAGCAAAATATTTAACAAAACGCTATAAAAATAATGATTGATACAATGAATTATCACAAGCTATGAAGAATTCAACCAAGTAAAGCTGGAAAGTCTTTGCATTAGTTCTGTGTACATCCTAGCTGGCTTTTTAAAAATTGAACTAGAGCCCTACCTGGAAAGGATGACTGGACCGTACATCATTAATCTTTCTTTCTCAGCGAATATCCAAACCCTTGAGCAAGGGTGGCTTACAAGCAGGAGTTTACAGAATCACTTCCGAAAATCTAACTTATTACTCACCAAAATCTGCTAAATGAACTGGGTTGTCTGCTACTCTCTTCCCACCTTCAATGAGCTGAGCCAGAAACTCTTTGTACAAAGGGTTCAGTGAAATTATATCTCTAATAGTTTTGATCACTTCAGCTGTTAATGCCTGAGGATTTAATGTAAGATATTATTTTTCTTTACACACATATTCCAGAAATAATAAATTACAATATTTTGTATGGAGTTGCTTACTATACAGGCCTGACGGAATTATGCGCAGATTTTTCAGAAATTATGCAGAATTTTTTCCCAAATTATGCGGTAAAAATCGCAAATTATGCGGGAATTATGCGGATTGCGCAATATCTTTTATAATAAAGTTCCAATGTAACAAGCGTTCTCATTGGTTTAAACAGCGTGCTTTATCAGAGTCCAGAGCACGCATTTCGTAAATAAGATTGCGCGCATGTTTGCTTTGAAAATAAAGGCCAAATTATGAAGAAATGATAGTTTCTTTATCATAAAACAAATAAAGCCTCACCGTGCTCTGTTCTGTTATAAAGCACGAGGAAGCGGCGATAGCACTCAAGAAGTAGGGAGAAACACTCGCCTGCGTCCTCGTGTCTCCGCGTGTTTTATAACAGAACAGAGCACGGGTGAGGCTTCTTTATTTGTTAATTTTAACCGAAGCACTTCCAAAAAGGTCCCCACACAGGGGGGGGAGGGGGGGGGGGATTTTTTAGATGTGGACAAGTGTTGTAAGGAGCTTAAGCGGTAACCAAGCAAAAGTAGTATACTAACGCCACAATAATTATTATTTATTTTTCAGAGTTCATGACACGAAAAGTGACATTTTTACATCGTAGCATACGTCAAGGCCACGTAATTTCAATGTCATTACCTAACGTCTTCAAAAAGGATGCGACCTGGAATCGATCCAAATGAGTTTTATTGAAGTGACAGAAGTGATGCCAGAACTTCAACAAATGTTTCTGCCACTTGTTCACTCATTACGTTAACTAAGAGCAAACTTTTGTAACTTCAATTTGAATCAAAAGAAGCATCGCCACTTAACTTGTAATTCCCTAAACAGTGACATGATTTAATCAAAATTGCTCTATTCTAGCATAGGGCGCAGCCAAAAACGCGACAAAAACAGGCTTTAAATCTGACGTGATCTAAAATGATATGCGTCTATGCTAAGCAGTTCAAGTGATAATTTTCACAATGGAAATGATATGCTTCATGTATACACGGAAATGTTCCTTGGGCTTATGTATCGTTAATTCTTCTTTCTATTTTTCTTAAAACACTGATAAATAGCTTCTACATCATGCAACTGAGGAAACTGAAACGGACCAGATCCTTGGATCTCGAGAGGACCAAGGAGAAGCCTGGAGGGAGAGCAGTAGTCGATATCATCTCGCTTTGGCCAGTTAAATAATCTCGCTCCGACAGAGTACAGGAACTTCATCTTGGTGTTACTGTTGACCTCGAGAACTCGACCAATGTAGTACAACTTGTGGTACTCTACAGCATAATACTCCCCTTCTTGGGGTGTCTGCATCCTGTCCACACATTTCTTCATGTCAAGCTCTAGCACCATTTGACTTCGAAAGGCGGGGATACTGTCACTGCTGATTACACTTTCTGACAGACCTACAAGGCATCTGGCGTACATGCATACGTACACACCGCAATCGAAGGAGTTCTGCTGTTGGGGTACCTCGTGTTGTTGACCGCTGAAGAAGCTCCATTGCTTAATTTCTTTACCCAGTGAAGGTGACAGTTCTTCCAGCAAGCTCCACATTTTACACACTGCTCTTTCATGGGTTGGCTTCACACCAGAACCTTGTAACAAACTGTCCAAAACAATTATTTCCTTCTGCTTTGGTATTACTACAAGAAGAAACCAGTGCCTGCTAGTCCCGGGATTGCAGGGAACAAGGACATAGTCTTGCTTCATTAGGTCTTTGCCTTTCACCACATCTGCGGCAGGTCGGCTGGCAACTCCTTTTTCAAAAGTTTCCCATTCAAGAGTTTCAACTTCAAGTGTAGTTGTTTCAGCAACCAGCTTAAGATAGGAGTCGATAACGAAATTACTTAAGTAATTGGCTTCATCCTTTGGATGGCCACCTTTAAGACCAACTAGATCTGCAGTTGACACAAATTGACTGCCTTTGAATGTAACTGAACCATCAACTATGGCCTCGAGAACTGCGTTATTGTGAACAGGAAATACACAGACTTCTGTTTTCTCTAACTTTTCTAGCGTGTTCTTGCCAAGACCATTCTTTACTTGGGGCTGAGTTGGCGGTGTTTTAACATTCTGTATTGGGATTGAAGAGCTACGTTGTTGGCTTGATGGGGCTTTGGCTGATTTCGTAACGTGAGTGCCATCTTTGGATAGGCTTGAGCGGAAACGTTTCCCCTGGTCTTTTTTGTCGGCTTTCAGTTTCCGCTTGGACGAAGCGCTTGGCTTGGTAGCTTTTGTACCTGGTACTTTAGTTGTTGGAACAAGAGGCATTGGCTTCAAAGTAGGATGGAAAAAGCTGGAAATGGGGGGGCGATTTGAGAGCAGACCCGCAGGCATGGTGCCCGCACTGCTTGAACACATCGGAACAGAGCCCGTGGACGCCTGAACAGGAGGTGAAGACATCGGAGAAGAAGCCGTGAGACGCCTGAACAGAGCCCGCGGACATCGGAAGAGAGCTCACGGACGCGACATCGGAACAGAGCCCGTGTGCATCGGAGCAGAACCAGTGGACATGGGAACTATAAGATGAGGAAAAGAACAAAATTGCCTAAAGAGCAGCAATAAAACATATACACATATTTTTTTTTTATCATTTTAATGTTCAATGCCATGATGAATTATTTATTGTGATATAATATTTTGTTCATCAGTCTTAAATGAATAATGCACTTATCAGCGGCCATCCCGGGGATGACCCGGGGAACCCCGGCATTTGCACAACAACGTTTACAAATCCCCCTACCCAAAGGCAAGATTTTTTAACAAAACGCTACTAATGTCCCTCCCTGGGGGTAAAGAAGTGTGCTCTGCCAAGTTAAAAGGTGCATATGATCTCAAAGACAAAAAAATTATATTTGCTATAATTATACCTATAAGAGTTAATAAAATACAACCAAAGAAAACGATTACAAGAGAAATGCGAAATGGCCGCTGATTAGTGCATAAGTTAATTTCTAAGTAGCTTGTCGCTTTTGCCTGAGACTAGAACTTACACGAAAACATTGTTCTACCTTGGTCTGTGGATTTTGAATGGAGTTCCATGGGATCTGTCCACTTTGAAGCAGGCGCTGATGGGGCTGTTTCATTGATAGCTGCCGACTTTGCCTGTAAGTTCCAGTTCAGGAAGTGATATGCCCTGATGGTTTCAGGGGTCATCGACATCCGCTTGTCATCGAGAACGCTGTTGTACATGGAAAAGGATCGCTCTACATCATACGAACCAAGGGTTGCAGTGCAGTACCGCGATGCAATTTCGTGGCTTTGGAAGTGCGCCGGCATTGGTTTTCAAAAAAAGCAAGGTCGAGATCTCCACTAAAGCTTCCTTTGACGGCTGCTGGGCCAAGGACATTCACGTACAGATCAATCTCGCTCTTTGGAACGTCTGCTATCCCGGGGATGCTGCTTTCTGACAGGCGACCCATGTCACACCTGATGAGATTTCTAGGATCAAGTACCCTGATATCTTCTAGAAAGGCGCTGCCTGGCTGTCCACCCTCAACCACATATTTGTTCAGCTTCTTGTGCGCATCTGAGAATGCTGACTGAACAATTTCCAAAACGTCCGCTTTGTCTTCGCTTTCAAACCTAGTGGAAAGACAAGAGTAAAAAAAAATAATATACCCGCCCTTGCCCATTAAAAATTCGCGCCTTTTTAGTCCAAAATGAGCCTAAAATATAATGCGCATTGTTTAAGGAACATTTCGCTTTTTTATTGTTGGGTTTATTAACAATATTTGCTCTCTAAATTTATCCCCACTTTGGGGGTAACCATACACTACAGGCGCTCCAAGGTGTAAAGGGAATGAGACCGTAAACCAGCATTGGACTGCTAAATACTTCTAGGCCCAGCTACATGAGCAAGAGCAACAAATGTTATCCCAATAATATTTACCTCGCGACAGAAAAAAAAAAACGCTATTTTGCTAGCAAAAGTATCTAGCACGCTTATCACTATTTGCATAGGAAACTATTGCGCAAAAGGTTACGCTTTGTCAAAATGGCTCATTGTTGTACATTGTATAAAATAGCTTCCCCGTGCGAGCAGACGCAGAACTCACTGTTTTCGCCAATATTCTGATTGGCTGCAGTTAGTTCTACAGCTTGGTAAAGATTTTAGACATATAGTTTACCTCCAATCTCCTTCAAAACAAAACCCAATGTCTTCTTCGTTCATCAATGAGCTACTGTGAAGATAACAGAGGAGGCTTTCCATCTTGTTTTTTAAACTTGTGTCACGTGTGGGATTCGCTGTTGGAAATAATCTAGCAGAATCATCAACTGTGGCCCCATTCTTGATATTATCATAAGCTGCGCATGTAGACTCTTCATGAATGAGCTGTCGTCATACATTTCTTCAAGCCGCAACAGCGAAGTTACTTGCTGCATCTCGTCCACAGCGCTCGATTTCTGATCGAACAAACTCCCCACAGATGGAGTAATACTTGGCGTGATAATCGGCCGATTCAAACCATGCAGACCAGCTCTTCGTTGTTGGGTTGGGCGGCATGACTGGTTTTCCTTCAAGACTTGCAGCGCGTTTCAGAAAGTTCAAGAAACGACTTTTTACGTCCACTGAATATAGAACAGGTTCCTGAAACACTTGATGAATTCCGATGCAGTTTTAAAGTGTTTCTTGAAATCAGCCGCTGCCAGGTTGATAATGTGGCTGTGGCAGGTTATATAAAAACAACACGGAAATAAAGCAGACAATGTCTCATTGAACGCCTTTTTCATGTAGCTTGCGTTGTCGGAGTTAAAGATCAAGACACAGTCAAAGTCGATGCCATATTCGACCAGTGTCTTAACAACTGCTTGGGAAACAGTTTTGTTGTTCGTTTCTCGTAGAAAATGCGTGTCTATCAAGTACGCAACATTTTTGCCACTTGGCGATAGCTCATCGAAATCAAGCAAAGTTACCATTATATCCAACACATACCGCCCATCATCATCACTGAGCTCATCTACCATCACTGCAACATTTTTTTTTACTTATTTTGTCCTTAAGTTCCTGTTTTTCACACTCATACACATCAAAAAGATACTCACGCAGCTGCGTTCTCTTCGGGATTGCCCGCCATTAACCACTCGGGATTTCAAAAATTCTCGGAGCACGGGGTGGTCAGACTTGCCAAGGGGATGTTAGTGGCCGTGCACACCTTGATCCAATCATGGCAGACTTTGATCCTCTCTTCTTGTGCCGAATTGCTGCACTTGAACGAAGTTTTTAGAGTCTTTTGTTTTCCACGACTTGTACCGGGCAGATTAAGACGTTTTTGGTGTGAAGCAGCTTCAAGGTGCCTGTCAAGAACCGATTTTCGAGAGTGCTCAAGCACAACATTGCACACGGTGCAAAACAGTAATCCCCTTTCCTCGTGAAAGGTTCCGGCTGAGTATTGCTTAACTCGATCTTTAGCTGTTATTTTTGTTGCTTCGTGGCTCTTTGTTTTTTTCTCACTCTCTTTCAATTTAGTAAACCAGTTTTCCATGCTCTTCATGGCGGTCAGAAAGCAGAAAGGAATTCGCTTTTCCCGCGCAATCGATAAGAATTTCTATGCAAAAAAATGATTGGTTCTCTTCTACCAATAAAATGGCTCGTCATATCTTTACTAGTTACAAGCCCCAAACGGCCGTACATAGAAGGCCTGTTCAATTTTTGAAGTGAATATCGTTCTATCCGAGGACTTCTGAAAGCGAATTCTAGAAAAAAAACCTCACATTTCTTATTTGTTTTACAATGAAAACAAGGTAGGAAGTCCTTAAAAAGGAGATATGACACTTAATTTATATTTTTTTCGATATTTTCCAAGATTATGCGGTATTATGCGGGATTTTCAAGATTATGCGGGATTGCCCCCAAAAAGCCAAATTATGCGGCCCCGCATCCGCGCATAATTCCGTCAGGCCTGACTATACACTGCAAAAAATGTTATGCCTGTAATATCTGTACGAGGTTAACCAATTGCGCCGGTCATGAGGCAAAACTACAGTGAAAGTGCTCATAAGCAGACACCCTCGGGACGCAAAAAAAGGTGTCCATAACTGGAGTTGACCACAGAGTTTTGTATGAGAGTTGAGTAAAACAGGGTTTTGTAAAGGTGACTGTAAGTAGAGCTGTCCGCTTAGGAGAGTTTCCACTAGTTTTGCAAATTGCCTAGCCAAATTAGTGTGCTGAAAGTGGATATGAATTAGGTTTTTCCTTTGCTTGCTTGATTTCGGCATTCTCAAGAACGACTCCGCATGAATTGAGTGAGATCTCTGTTAAGCATGTGCAGCGTGTTGCTGGGATATAGTTTTGAACCCAGGCCTAATAGCCATGCACTTGCTACAGCAGACTCACTTATGACCATTAGTTTATCAATAATGGATGATCGCACTCAAAAAAACAATTTGACAAGAGAAAACAAGATTGACTAGTCAAGAAGTTTGAGCTGCGAACGACCTCAAAGGTTTGATGCGATTTAGGAGGTCAGAGGCGACCACCCAGACCTCGGTGTAACTGACGGCTCAATACCACTCGCTGCGCATATGAAAACAAGCACCTTGAGCCTCCCTTTTTCCTCCTCACTCGAGAAGACAAAAGGAGACTCTGTGCACAGGGTAGCCAACCTTGGGTATGCCTTAAACAAATGATAAATTATGAGAAGCTCAAAAAAGGAAAGCATTTTTTAAAACTCATTTGTCAATAAATTACCTTGACTTCATCTGTGAGCTTGAATGGTTCATGCAGCACATTTTCCACTCTAACCATAAGTATTGGTTTCTCTTTTGTGGTGTCTTCTGAAGATGAATCTAAAGGAAGATCCACTGCAGCAACAGGTTCTGTCTTCTCCTCCTCAGTATGAGGTGAATATTCAATGGTGTCTGTTATTTTTATCCTGAAAATAATTCATATATATAGTCTAGATATAAACATACAATCAGGGTTCTCCAAAAATGTAGAGCAGAGGCAGAGAAAATTAAAGGAGGCAGCAACAAAGTATAAAATCAAAAGAAGCGAAAAGCCTTTCGCTCGGCTTATCTTCAAGGTGGTGTTAGGTTTGTCAGGGGGTTTAGCCCCCATACCTCATGCTCTGTGAAAAGTTACACAATAAGCTCTGAAAAGTCCATTTCATTGCATTTTGAGCGACCAGTTAAAGAATTTTAGCCATGGTAGTGACACATTTATTTCACACATTTGATTTATTTTTTACCATACAATTTATTTTCCCCTCTCAAAAAAATGATTTGTTTGAGTAGCCGGTGCTTTCATGGCAACTGCAAAATGATTTTTGCTGGCTGCCGGAGTTTCTGGAGAACATTGACACAATGATTACTAAACTGTCTATAACCAACAATGTTATGTAAACCTTCTGTGACCAAGAATGACCATCCTGATTTTATCTCCAGTATCATACAGCTCGGTGATCTGAACAAAAGAACCCACTTGATAGATATCATCCAGACTGGTGATGATTTCTGCTTCATTACTACAAAAGAAAAATGAAATTGGTTGACATGCAATCTAGAAAATGTGGAGTGTGCGTTTATCTGCTTCATAAAAGCCTGAAAATCTGTCAGTCAACAGTCTACCGACTGTCACAGGTAAGGATGATGTAAGTCACAATAGCCATGTTCTTTTTGTTTGTGATCGATGTCTATGTCTTCCTATGGACTTCATCAGGTGATGGTGTGAATTTATGGACCGAGACTATTAACAACAAACTATAAGCAACCACTGTGTTACTACAGTTTGTAATGGTCTCACTCAGTAGATTAACATTGCTTCATGAAGACGAACAGCATCCAGCTGAAATATTGCAACCAATAACAAAGTGACTTATCATAAGACACACGCAATCAACACAGTTATCTAGTGGTTATTTTTACCCCACGAATTTTTCAACTGAGCTTTCAGTCTGGTAGAGAGACCGCCAAGAAGCTACCAAAAACCAGAGCTTTTGGGCATTTTCAATTCGGCCCAACACTGTGGACATTTTGTTTACAAATCAAAAGGAACGGGCCCTTTTGGTTCTGTCTGACCAGAATATTAGGGACCTCCTTGGAAGATGGCCCACTTTGACCGGTCCAGTAAATCCGGTTGGTCGGTCAGACCTACAGTAAAATTAATGTCCTTTTCCATTTGACCAAATTGTTGTCCCCAGTATCGCTCTTCTGTATCTTGTTTAAAAGTACAATAACCAAATGCATGGTGCTTTAGGTCAGGTCTGTGCAACCGGAATGTGCCGTTTCATGGGCACATGGAATTTTGGAAATCTCACAAGGAATTTTTGTTGAATGAAAAATGCCCTTTACGTAATTTTATAATTTATGAATACAGCACTGCTGACTTGTTAGAGCTGGTCTCACTCTTGTCCACTAACCTGTCTTCTTTTTTCAGGAAAGCCCCAGCATATGGCTGAGCTAACCTTGACTTTACTCGGATCAGCTCCATGAGATCCTTGTCTGTTATCTAGTGAGGACCAATTCCTTACATTAGATTTTGCTAATACAGTGGAACCTTGATAACAAAGTCCTCAGACATATTGGGAGAGTGCAGGTCTGTTGAGTGCCAGGCTGTTAAAAACACCAACCAAGGTCTCAAAAAACTGGTGAGATCAAATTAGCTGTAATTTAAACTCATTTTCAGTTCAGATGATAGCATCATCGGGTGGTGACATAATTGAGCTGTTGGCCTTATCTCCTTCATCCTTTCACATAAGCTGGAAGGTAATGTAAAAGACCCTGTGACATTGCTTTAAAAAAGTAGGGGATATAGGCTCCAGGGTGTCTTACTTGTGCTGTCATTGGTCTGCATTGGTGAGGTGAGATCAAACAAGAACTGAAGCGGCTGTATTGTTCACCTTCGCATGCTGACATCCAGTCTCACCTCTATGGTCCCTCGGCAATTTTGCTTCTGGCACCAATTGGTTTGCTCGGTTTGGTTCACTCTAACACACGATATCTCTTGAATTGTCAGAACAGAGTAAGGGTCTCATTATTACTAGCCCATTCACAGGGCACCCAGGATCACAACAGACTCCTTTGAGCTAAATCTATTTGTCTAGGAATTAATCATTAGATCAATAAACATACCAAATCATCTACAAACCTCCATCATCTTGACAAATCTTGGAAAGACAGGATTCCTGTGAACAGGTAACACAGGCACTTCAGGGAACACATCTGGGACCATGACCTGTGCCAGCGCCCCTTGGGCTGGATCTACCTTAACCCCCGCCTTGTCCTCTATCACAACCTCTGCTCCATCATCTTTCTTGTCACCACCATCTCCATTATCATTTCCACTTCCACTAGCTCCTTCTGATGACTGTCCACTGTAAAAGATCAGTTAAATGCTGGGAGAACATTAGCCCTTGACCTTTTCATTGACTGCTCAAAGTAACAATAACTTTAATTATTATTCATTCAAAATATTTCCCCAATTCTGATTGGCTAAAAGCACATGCATAATTCACCATAACCAGTTACTGATGACCAAATTTGGAAGAATTTTGTGTTTAACAAGGAAATGACGTCAAAAATGCAGCCTTCTACAGGTTAATGCACCGTTAACCGAGAAGACCTGGGGACGAGATTGAGACTTTGTTTTCGTTGTAAAAACTAAAATGACGGACACTTCACTTGTTTCAAGACTAAGAACTACAGCTGGAACTAGGAGAAATAATGGCCAAAAACATAGCAAAAACAGCAAGAAGACAACTCGGAGGGTGACATCTGCTATTTGGAGAATCTTTGCCGGGCTGGACAAACCTAAACGTAAACTATCATAGAAAAACTTAACATCGATGCAGGTAAGCTTGTTTTAGCTATGCTTTTATACCAGGAATAATTCCTTGAATGAATAATAAAACAATGATTGAATTCAGCTTTCGTATCATATGAAGAATTATGGAGATCTCGGAGGGTGTTATCCGTCGAGGCCGTAACACCCTCCTCAATCTCCATAATTCTTTATAAGATACGAAAGCCGAATTCATTAATTGTTAATACTCACCTGGAGCTGTGGCTGTTTGAACTCTGTGCCTTCGAGTACCCTCTTGGAAATAACACTAGATCACTATCTGGGGAATCAATCCTGATAATATAAAAGGTCCACATGAAAAACGTTTCTTCAACAATATATTATAAAAAATGTCCACTGACTGCATGGGTGGGTAGTTCGGGGAGGGGGGGGGGGAGAATTTGTGGGTATAAATGATTTGAGGGGGAGAATTGAAAAATGCGGCCAACAATTGCCTAATGATTAGAGAGTATTAATAAAACGTTCCCTGTTAAAATTCTGAAAATAAAGAAATTTTTCACCACCTCTCCTTCCATGAAAGATGATCAGCTGAGGAAGTGCATATTGTATGACGAAACCCTAGGGTGTATCGCTCGGTTCCTGCGTTAAATCTATCCAAACCATCACGAAAAGACGGCGCTCTAGTTATTTGACAACACTGCTTCAGTGGCCTCCAAAGTTTGTGATAATCACGGCTCAAAATCCGGCTAAAACATGGTGATGCAACTTTCCTGGCCACAAACATTGTGGTCTTCTCCCAACGAAAGATGACATTGCATGCACACGTGCGCTTGGTAACCCCCCTCTATCCAGCGGCCTTCTTTTGGGGATTTTGCGCACTGAAGTCTCGTTGGTGTGATGGCGGATTTTGAGCGTGGCTCTGTGAAATTTTCCTAAAAATTTCTCGTTCATGTTCGTACGCCATGAGTGGGAGAATCTACTGCGGAAGACTGCCTTCGGAGGCTCAAGAGAAGGATCTTGAAACCTTGTTGAAATCCATCGGAAAAATCCGCGATGTTGATTTCAGGGAAGGTTTTGCGTACGCTGTGTTCAAAGATAGCCGCGATGCTGACAGAGCCGTGCAAGAACTCAACGGCAGAGAATTTATGGGCCAGAGTATTCTTGTAGAACGAGCGAAAGAGGTTAGAAATGGAGTTGGTGGATATACTGTAGCTGGCGGTTATACTGCTAGAGTTCGCCAACCAAAGCCCCCTCCCGTGCGAACAAATCACAGAATACGAGTTGAAAACCTTCCCGCAAGAGCAAAGTGGTCGGAACTCAAAGAGTTTATGAGTGTAGCGGGTGATGTAACTTTTGCAGATACCCACAGGAGGAGGCCTGGTGAAGGACTTGTTGAGTTTGCAAGTAAGGAAGATATGATAAAAGCATTGGAAACTCTTAATAAACGGGAGTTCCTTGGAAAGAAAATAAGATTAGTGGAAGAAACTCCTCGTTCCAACAGAGGTCGTTCTCAGTCACGCTCTAGGTCTAGATCAGTGTCACCTAAAAACAGGAAAAGACAATCCTCATCACCTTCAAACTCAAAGAAACGGAGTTCACAGTCAAGTGACAGGTCAATTTCACCAGAAAAGAGTAGAAAGCCGCGATCAAATTCTTTGTCGCCATCTCATTCAAGTCATCGAAGGTCAACTCACTCAGAGTCAAACCATACATCATCTGAACGGAGAAGGAGGTCTCATTCTAAATCACCAAAAAGGTCTCGTCACAAGTCAAGATCTAGGTCGCATTCCAATTCACCTAAGAGGTCAAATCGTAAATCAACGTCAAAGTCACATTCTAAGTCACCGAAGAGATCTCACTGGAAGTCAAGATCTAGGTCACATTCTAAGTCGCCAAAGAGATCTCAGCATAAATCAAGATCTCGGTCACAATCTAAGTCCCCAAAAAGATCTTACCACAAATCAAGATCACTGTCTAAGTCACCAAAGAGGTCAAAGCCTAAATCAAGATCAGAGTCACATTCTAAGTCCCCAAAGAGATCACATCACAGATCAAGATCTAGGTCCCACTCAAAGGCAAAAGGACAAACTGAAAGACATTCCTCTTCAAAATCTCATAAAAGGAAAAAGCTTAAAGCCAGATTGCGTTCGCGATCAAGATCTCCTAAAAAGCACAGGTCATGATCATCCTTTTTAGCAGGTTAAAAGACAGTTTGATTAGGAAATACCGGTAGTAATCATGATATCCAGTTGTTTCCCTACAGAGTTATTTTGCTACACTTCACCTCAACATGCTTCACAAAAATGTTGTAATACACAGGAGAAGCCTGGATAAATTGCTCATCCAATCTTGACACTCTTAGATACAAATATGATCACAATTCATTTTTACATTGTAGCAAAATGACTTTGCAGCAGACTGTTTTGAGGTGATAGAGTCCTGATGCACATAGTTGTACAGTGGTATCCTGATTTCTCAAACTCTCAGCTTTTTCCATTTTGAAGTTCGAAACCAAACTTATCTTCCCTTCACCAGTCAAACACTATAATTGTAGCCCTTATTTTTCACCCTCTTGATAATTCAATCCAATTTACTTTTCCTGAGGTGGTTAAAAAGTCCGGATTCCATTGTAGGTGTGCACACATACAAGTAACATATAGTAGACTGGCTTTTGTCAGTTAAAGTGGTCAAAATACTTCGTAAGTGACTCTTTCGAGTCCAGAATATTAGTGTCCTTTGCATGCATCACATGAGGTACTTTCGGAAATTCTTTGTCTTAGGAGTTTAATTGACTGTTTGTTTTTGTAAAATTGGGATTACACTGTACATCAGTCTGCAACTGGGTTATACATATGGTAGCACATGTATAAGGTAATGTATAATAATTATATATAAAAAGGAGCAACTTTCAATCCAGATAATTATATCAATGAACTCTTTTTGTCACAAAATGTTAAGAACCCTTAAGCTAAAAAAAGCCGTATTTTTTGTTGTTTTTAGCTTACATTTATTTTCTTTAAGGGTGCGTTCCTTTCGGTGAATCCAAAAACTGATTTTAGATCTAAGAACGGATTTCGCATTCCTTTCGGCAAATCCAAATCCGGATTTTTGATCTGGTGAATCCTTTTTGAAAAAGGATTCATTGGATTTGAAATCCGAAGAATCCAAATCCAGATTAACGGATTAGTGATCTACGCTGTTCCATTCACAGTGGATCCGAAATTAGTCAGATGATCCAGCGGTATTTCCAGTTGAAGTATTCCCATAGAGGTCGTAGAGTTTCCACGTTGCTGTCATTTGCCGCAAAACATCTGAAAACACTAGAAGATTGTTCCAGGTACATTAAAATATCCATATACTAACCACTTGTCTCTAAAGATGGCTTGAAATCAGAAATAAGTAAAAGTAACAAATGAACTGCGATCTAATTACAAACTCGCTTGTAGACGCGACAGGCACTCAATCGTGCTACATAAAAAAATCCGAGCTATGGAACTGGATCAAACTGGCCGACATTCTTTAGATAATTTTCAATTTTAATGCGCTTCTTTCTTTGTCTGTTTTATATGTTCCATCGTCGCTATTCGAACTGCCGACCACTAAATTCTGCACGGTATAATCGCATAATTTGTCAAACAGTAGAAAACACGTCATTTTTTGGGAGGATGTCGTGCATACTGCACGCTTTGGCGAAAGGTTACCAAGGTTACAAATCCAATTTCGGATTTCGCGTTCCTTTCGACCGCGAAATCTGGCAAATCTAGGATCAAAAATCCGTTTTTGGATTCGCCGAAAGGAACACACCCTAAGTGTAACAGATCAGGATGTGTGTCTGTTCAATTCATGGCTAGAGACCTCAGTAGGGTACTCTGATAGAGTAGTTTTTTAAATAACGTGGAATCATTATCGATTAATTCTATGCTAAGTTTACTGTCTAAAAACATTCAAACCTCCTGTTAGTTTCAACTCGAAACACAAAGATTTTGTGGGCTTTAATGAGCATCAAACCACCAGGGTTCTCTTCTGGTAACAGATCCAACACAAATAATATTATTACATTCAGTTTCTGAGTCATAATACAAGCTGTGCCATCTTCTTTTCACTCAAAATTTCTCCTCTACATCCACCAGACACAGAGATAGAATTTCTTCCGTAAGTCAAGTGGTCATGTGCAGGAGGTTAAAACCAAGGGAAATGTGTTCTTGATTGCTTAAGGGAGATGGTGGTTTGTGACAGGTTACACCTATAGTGCTTTAGCTGGAAAGATTGTGGTGTCTTGCATAGGTGGTCACCCATGAGAAATACTACTTGTTTCACTTAACGTATGTTCTGGTCGTTGACCTGCACATGTGGTTCCTTTTAGTTTGGACACTTACCAGCAATTTTTTTCTGTGAACAAAATTGCTGCAAATGATATTTTTCTGCCTTGAAAGTATGTATGTTTGGATACGTCACCGTTTGAGTGGGACAAAACAATAATACATGGTTGTTCTTGATCAAGTCTTAGTTTTGTAATGAAAACTGTGCGTAGTAGGCACACGATTTGCCAGTTGACTGGTTGTAAATTAATTTTATTTCCACCACAAAAATGTTATTTCAATGGCACAATTCACACGTGCTCAACATAGATTGAATTCATCAGCCATTGTTAGTCTTTTGTATAAACTTTGTCCAGATCTGTTGTTCAACCACATCTATTTTCATCAGACACGGGCCAATTTTAGAATTTATTACATTGTGTGACTGACTCATCGTTATTTGCAGTTTTTTTAGGTCTAATTTAGGGGGTGTTTACGTGACATTGGGGTGACTTTTGCCTAGGAGCGAGTTCACTCCGGGTCCCTCTCATGGCTCTATATTTTATTTTGTTTACATGATACCACCACAAAATGTCTTGCCGGCGCGAGTCGCCCTAGCGTGAGTTCACCCTGGTTCTTGTACTGGGGCGAGAATTTCACTCCAGTAGGAAATCTCGCAACGGTATCATGTAAACGCGAAACATCTACCCGTTTTGGTTGGAAATAGGTCTCCTGGTAAACTGGAATGGGTAGCGCATGCGTAATGTTGCGATTTTGAATCACACGTGTATTTTATCATCATGAAGTGTACCTTCAAATAACGAGATATGAAATGACCCAGTCATTATCTAAACGCTATACGAAATCAAAAAGTCACCCCGGTATGAAACTCGCACCGGTGCGAGTTTTCTCACGTAAACACCACCTTACTATGTTATCATAGCTGGAGGAGCATTGTCGCAAATCGTCGCATGTACACTTAAAAAGTTGCTTATTATTTTCTTTTGGCATTTCTGTAAAAGGTAACTTATTGATAACAGGAATGTAAGTCAAAGGATATAACCACACAACAGGTTAAAACCTGCTTTCTGCTAAACTGTAGTATATATTTCTTTTGAGCATAATGGTTTAAGAAAGAACATCTAAGAAATTACATCAAGGTTAAGCCATGAATGATATTTGCTTTCTGTTGTTTTTACTCCTTGAGCTTTACAACTAGCTTGAATTTTAAAACTTGTAAATAATGACATTTCTGACTTGAATAAAAAGCAACATTATTGGTGACTTGTATACATGTTTGTCTTTTTTGATTGCTGTGGTTAGAGTTCATTATGTAGTTGTTCTTATGTAGGCTCACTTCTTATATTTAACAATTATTCCTCAAGCCTGAATGGGCTCTGAGTCAATAACCCATGACGCTGAAGGCCGAATGGGCTATTGACTTGTAGGCCATGAGGGCAAGAGGAATAATATTGTTTTAGTGAAATCCAACTACTGGGTCAAAAATATCGAGAATAAAAAAAAATTAGCTAGTTAAAGCTAGACTTTAATCTTTTTTGGCCCCCAAAAAGCCCGCACTTTTTGCTCCAAGTGGGCTATGACATAATTATAGCCTAGTAGTAGCTCAACCAATCAGAATGAGGCACTGATAATAGACCACTAGTTGGATTTTGCTAATACTAATTAATATTACCCTAGAAACTGATCTAACCCTCAAATACCTAACAGTGATTATTATAGCCAAATTTCTCCTCCCAACATCAATGCTTACCAAGTCAGGGAGGTCAAGAGAAGTAAACATTGTTATGATCAACCAGGATTAACTCCTTACTATTCCATTAAGAAGTGGATGGGAAAATAGAGGACTAGATTTTGTATTTTAGTATACAAATTCCAAGAATCAGAGCAACAATTAAAAACAAAATCAAATATTATTGTGGTCAAATTGCAATAATTGCACTTTGACCACAATAATATTTGACTGCATAAGCAAGATTAATGTCAGATTTCGAGGGAAACAGTCTTGGTTTCCCATCAGGACTTGAGGGAAAACAAAACTACCTAACTGGTTTCCTGAGGGACCTGACATTAAGTGTTTTGTTATATAATCTAGCCTTTCACTTCAACAGCAACAAAAGAATAACCGGAGCACATCAAAACAGTCTACTCAGTACTTAAGAGCACAAATTTGATTCTCAAAACCACTGAATGAATGATTTGCAAAGTACTTTCCTTATAAATTATTATCTGCATCTTTTTCTTCCACGAGCTTCTGTTCCTGTTCTGACCTATAACTTGGAAAATCCTTACTTTTTAGCCTGAGGCTTCATTAATTTTTGTATTGTTGTGTTTATTCACAGAAAAGAAAACTGGCAGTGTTTCCCCCACCTTCTGTCATGCCACTTTCCACCATGCTTTGATCACGTGCTGTAATGTATCCCAAGGGGATTACAATTGCTCAAAATGTATCAGGATCAGGATACAGTTGATTTTAGTCAAGGCCATGTGACCAAGAATCAACCAATGGCAGTCCCTGTTTAGTTTTGTGTGTGAAAGTCTAGGGGATATAACAATATTACACGGCCACCTGTTAATACTGCACATACTCATTACCTAAGGTTTTTTCATTTGTCGCCTCTCCAAATAGGTTTTGGGATAATAGGAGTCTTAGACTTGATAAATAAATTATTTATCAAGTCCAAGACTCAGATTTTCCAAAATTGTTAGAGTTTGAAGCAACAATCACTACGTCCGGGATTTTACCATTTGCCAACCCTAACAGAGGACAATATTACAAAGTGGAGCAGGGATACAAAATTTCCCTTTGAGTGCTGTTGAACACCATGAGCATAGAAATTTTCTTTCACAGAGCAGCCATGCAGTGTTCCATTTATTTTATTAATATGAACACCAATAAAATACCAAACTGTTTCACTTTAATTTTTTTTCTGCAAAATGTGCAGTTTATTCTGTTAACAAACAAAATGGTGATCTTTTCAAGAATGCCCACTTGATATTTTATTAGTGTTAACAACATAAAATATTACTTAGCATAGCATTATTTTGATCCTCCCTCAGGAGCTATAATGACTGCCTGATAACATTTAGTAGAATCATGGGATTAGCTGTTTAGAGAACATCAGCTGGCAAATATCCCTCTTCAATATAATCTCACCTCTGACACATGAAAATTTCACACTATGCTTGTTCAAATAATAATTATTTATTATTGTGATTCAACAAAAATATTACAATATTCCAGTTGAGCTATATCATGGAATTTTAGACATGGTTACGGCAATAATATAAGATGTAAGAAACAGATTTAACAAATAAATAATGGATCCAGAGTTAACAAGCACTACAAGCTCATTTACACAAGTATAATTATATAATCACATTTTTAAAACTCATCACTAATTCATGAAGAAAAAAAAGAAATTAAAGTTTAATGAGTGTCTTTATATCTGACAAAGGCATGGCTAAACTTTATGTCCAGTTTTTTTTTATACAAAAATAACCCCAAATCTAAATATTAGTGAAAGAGTGACTTGACCTATATAAGAGATTTTGAAGCTGTTCCAAAAACTTGAAATCATTGAATTATTCGGTTTAAAAGCTCTCAGCTTAGCGCTGAGTTTTTAAACCTGGTAATAGACTCCTGCTCGTATTTAAACACTACTTGATATGTATAATTATTCCCTTAACTTTAATGCAAGCTAATCTTGCAGCCCTGTTAAAACCTGGTATAAAGCTCTCATCCTTGACTGTCAACAGAGCAGGGGCTCAGCCAGTTAGTCACCTGGGTGTCCTCTGCACTCCCAGCTTTCAGAGGAAAACAACTTTTTAGCAGCTTGGTTCTAGAACTACAGGCTTTAGCTTCCCGCTTAAAATTTCTGGGTACAACCATTAAAACCAAGCATTTTTTTGTCAAGATAACAAAACATGCAAGGTTTTTGTGTTCTTCAAACAACTTGGCCTTGATATTATAAGAAAAATGTCCTTGTGGTGAAAAATGCTACTCTACTCAGCTGTGAGACATTAAAGAAAAAAAGCAATAATTATTGCACCTACAAGTACATGCTCTTTTTTCTCTTGCTACTCCATGCATTATCTTACAAACTTTAGCTATATAGCTTGTTATTTTCCTTCCTTAAATCTGAAAATCAAACACGAATTCCTCCTTCAAGTCTCAGATATCCAGACTCTCGACTGCAGCACATGAGGTAACAAGCTACGATCATTCCCAGTAACTGTTGAAAAATTAACAGATAACAGAAATCAGGAAATTAAAGACAAATTGCTGCAAATCCTTTATGGTTAGTAACAAAATAATTTATGCATATAACTGACTAGGGTGACAAGGATGGGTGAGGAGAGAAAAGATGAGCAAAGTATGATCCCATTCAAAAGCATAGCAAAGCAGCTGTCTTTTATCAATCACAGGACTGATGAAATAAAAGTAACAAACTGAAGATGACATGTATAAACGTGGCGCCGTCAAGCTTTTACCTTTTCTTTTTAAATAGATGCTCTCAACATTGTAAACTGTGCTCCTAAAATTTTCAGCTGTGTGCCTAAAATTTCAGCAGTGTGCCTAAACCTTTACATCTGGTAGCACAACACAAGTGCTCCCAAACTCAAATTTCAACTTTGAGCGGGGGCTGGGCAAGGGGCACCTCTCAAACATAGAAACTTGGAGCTGAAGAGAGTTTATTCAAGGTGTTGACTGTATAGTTATGATTAATAATAATACAATCACTTACTTGCAACACAGCAACACCAATAGCAGTACCCAAGACGTAAGAGAGATTTTTCTTGACATCATCAGTTATCTTATCTAAGCAGCCCTTTCAATATAAGCAGAAAGGTAATTAATTTTATGGACCAACTTTCATTTTTAAGTCATCAAACAAAAATAGCCATAGCAAAACCAGTGTAAACAAATTAATCGAAGCAAGAACCAAGGCAACTCAAGGTTGTGTCTTGATAGATAATTTAAATTTTAAATAGTAATTAATTTGCTTTTGACTGATTGACAGGGACTACCATACCCCAAACAAAGGAAAATAGACTTTATAAAACCAAGGATAAAATTCAACTACATCATATCTGCAGCTAACACCTCAGACTTACAATGGTAAAAATTTGTAACTTGTTTGTAACAATTATTGTAATTTGCTATCCAAAGAGCACTTAGTAAGAACTCATTCAAATGTGTCCTTGTATTTCAGATTGAATAGGAATTTAAGTCTTGGTTTTTAAGGAGACGGGAAAACCTGAGTACTCAGAGAAAAACCTCTCTCAGCAAGGAAGAGAACCAACAATGAACTCAGCCCGCATACGTTTAGGTGCCAGATTCTAACTCAAGGCCACTTTGGCGGGAGGAGAGTACTTTGAAAAATTAAAATACTTCAAGATTTATTTTAACCATATATACCTCTTTGTAATGAGAGCATGAGTCTGGAGGGTGGTAATCATGATGCTGAGCATAGTTGTGCCAGTCACTGCGGCCATGGCTACCACAACATTTCAACTAAACATAAATAATACATGTCTTATTCAATACATGCTAGTAATAAAACTTTATTATACAATAATTCAAAATATTCCTCTTTTTCTGATTGGCTCAATCCCCTAGCTAATTCTTCATAACCAGCTAGAGAAAATAGCAGATATTTCACATCACATGCTTTGTGAAGAACAAATAGCCCAACAACAGGGTTGTCAAAAGTAGCCAGCTGCCGGCGAAAATGGCCGCCTACTTGGTTAGTATCGGCTGGCTACTCTGCTTGGCATTTCTTTATGGATGGTGTTTTTTAAATAAAATATCCCTGGACTGGTTAAGAAACATCTTCTGAAAACTATAGCAAGTGATCATGTGTCACTTGCAGTTGTAGGTATTATGAAAAATGCCACAAAACTCAATACTTTGCTTGTTCCAACTTTGCTCAACAAATGCGTGAGCAGCCGTTTCAGTTCTTTCCACAAGTGCTTCATGTATGCAGAATAAAAAAGTACTGAAAATGGCTAAATGGGAACGTGGCCTTATGGAAATGTGGGCGGCGATGCCAAAAAAAGCAAGTTAGGTATTTTCTATGTTGTTTATAACATTCTTATAACAGCAATAACACACCTGTAGAAACATAAACATTTGCAATTTAAGTCAATCACAATGTGTGTGGACTGCTAAAATGATCTCTGTAAACAAGTGTAGTGTTTTCAGTCTAATCTTTGTAAGTTTCTATCTAGAACTGCATTTTCTTGAATAAAAACGTTTTTCAGGTGGATGAAAAAATAATTAAATACCCACCAAAAACTACTGATTTCTGCATTTTGAAATCTCAGAAATTCGTAAAATTTATGAATTACTGAGAAACAAAAAGAATGCACATGATATTTAGGCCGCTTACTAAGGAATGATCGGACAGTTTTCTAAAGCACAAACTTTAGCTTAACGTTCACCAGCAAGATTGGAAGATAAAGAGCATAATTTATTCTCCGGATTTTCAGTAATTTTGGACAGAAAATAGCCTGAAAACAGCATTTCAGAGCATCTAAATATAAAAATTTTCTAGGCCCCCCTAGAGGCTTGCGCCTCCAGTGCTGGCCACTTACTTTGACAACTCAGCCGTCTTCTTCAAAACTTTCTGACAACCCCAAACTAATGCCAAAAAACATGGCGTGAACAGCATATACACAACCCGATGTAACAGCTGCAAGACTTAACATCCCTTTATATCCTGAATTTGCCAATGGCAGTAGTACGGACCGAGCGCAGCCACGACCTCGGGCCAATATTCCCCAGTACGGCCCTTGCGCTCAGTTAGTAAGCAGTTAATATATAAAATAAAATTTAAATAAATAAAAATAAATAAAAAAATACATGTAGTATAAGTATACACCGACGTAAACTTGTTTTTAAGTCATTATTAAGTAGGGAATATTTTCAGGAGGGTGTTATCTGCCAATTGAGTAATCGACCTCATTAAAATATTCCAAAAGACAACGTCATCTTGAGGCAAAAATATTATTCTGAATAGAGAAATAAAATATCCTTATTCATCCCTTGACTCAAAAAATTAAATATTAACTGCCCCAGGCCAAGTAAAACAGTATGATCTTAGATATATAAGACCTTGAGAATCTCTTATCCCCTGAGTAATCACATTATAATCAACAGGGAGTGTTTGATGTAATACTAACTTTAGATTGCAGATCATCCACAGCCTTGTCCAAACTTGAATCTTTGTAGTCATAATGCTTGATGGCATCAATGAAACCATCGTTCACAAACTCTTTTGCCTGATAAAAATATTAAAAAATGGATGAATGTGTGGAAGAAGAGGTCCCAGTACACTGATCAACATTTTGGTATAGAATTTATGGCATGCAATTTCTATGTAATTATAAGGAGTACTTCTTGTAGTTCCATGTTGTCATTGAAAGTTCTTCATATACTCTTACTAGTGGCTCAGTACGTACAGTGAACAAAGAGACCATATGCCATGTGCAAAGTGGTTGCTTAAAAGATATTTAAAAAAATGAAAGACTATTTAAAAACATCAGGCAAAAAAGTGATCATGGTCACTTTTGTTATGAGAGGTGGTCATACAAGAGGTTCTAATAATAATAATAATAATAATAATAATAGTGCACCTTGCAATATTTATTATGCTAGGGTTGTGGCTGGGAAAAATTTGGTGTTTTGCATAGGTGGTTATAAACAGGAGGGTGGTTGCAAATGGCGCTTCAACATAAAATTTGTACCTTGTCCTTGTAAACATAGCCCATTACTCCAGCTGTAACCTCCAACGCAAACACAATGAGGAGCAGTGCAAAGAACTGACAACAAAAAAGTGTTAACCAAAATTGCATTAGAACTGGAAAAAAGTCTGAAAAAGGCACTCTAAACTAAAGATCAAACATCTCCCATGTTCGTATCAGGACATTGGAACCTCCTAGGGCTGTTCTCCTTAAAAAAAAAAAGCACCCTGGAGAAATTAAGAGGGACAAGTTATTCTGCAATCATGGATGACAAACACCCACAGTCCAGTTGGTCTGTGTACAGCCCTCTCTGATCCAAGTTAGCGGTCACCTACCACCACACTCCATGCATGACTAACAAAGATGAAAGTCAGTTTGATAGCTGGAGTGGTTCCTAAGTTGTCTGATAAAATTGGTTTAAATGGTAACTTCTAAGCCACTGTTTGGCTCATAGCATCTTTGCACATCATTGGGGGTGCAATTTTTGGCTTGAATACAAGATAGTCCATATTTTTTGGTGGGAATCCCACAAGATCATAGTCTGGAAAGATCAACACTGCACCCCTGGCCTATTCTAGATGCACAAAGTTAAAACTTTGATGAGGAGTTTTCTTTTCTTTCCTTCCTTCATTGCTTTATTAAAGCTTGAAGAATTTATTAATAATGAAAAAGAATAAAGGAAAATAATGATAATAATAATAATAACAATAATAATAATTATTATTATTACGTAGGTTATGCAAGGTTCACATTGCAGTGACAGTTGTTTTTTAGCTTCATTGACTAATTCACTCAGATTAATTCTAGGTGGATAAGAATATTTTTGAATTTTAGATTTTGACTGCATGAATCCACATATTCATTTTCGCTTTAAATTTTAACATCAATTTTTATTACCTTATGGAGGAATTCATCATTATTTTATTTGTAGCCTTTGTAGGTTTTTTTTTCTGCTTTTGCATGTAGTATAATTCCATAGGCCAGTAGGCCTGCAATTGTATTTTATTCAGGACAATACTTTTACAATAAAGTATTTCATAATAATAATAATAATAATAATAATAATAATAGTAATAATAATGGTTGTTAGTGAGCTTGGTACAGTAAAAAAGGGGAAGTTGGAAAACATTAAGAAAGTATCAGAGAGGGCTACTGTGAAGGGACCCAAAAGATCTACATGCTGGGATCTGCACGAATCCTCAGGAAGGTGCCTAGTCATGAACAGAACAATTGACTTAATTGACTGATGCTCCAGGTGCATGGTTTACGCCCGGCTGTTACACAACTAGAACATCACTGAGCAAAGACTGTGACAAAAGAGACAATAAAAATAATAATAATAATAATATTTGTGAACATCCAAGTCTTTTACCAGTATGTTGCCTTTGGCATTTTAGTTTTCAAATTAAAAGCTTTGAGATTTTCACTCTTCTTTGACAAATTCACTTACAGTCTGTAATGACTGTTGTGTAAGCATCAGCCCCCTGGTGCCTCACTTTTACTGTTGGGTAACTGAGGAACCCTAGTTTTGTTGTTAATTTTAATTTGCTGGACACCTTGGATTTCACATGTTCAGCATACTCGGTTCCCTTCAATTTTTGTTACACCAAAGCATTGGAGCATTGTAAGGTGTTTACTACAAACATTAATCAGCCCAAAGAGAGTCTGACTTACAGTTGAGATGCAGCATTTATTGTCACGGCAAGTTCCACAGCATCCACATAGTGCAGTAATGAAGATCAAGACTCCAATGCCAACTAGGATACCACAGGGCACAAGTGTGTAAGTGTCTGTGGTGATCTTGGTGATATCACCATACTTCTTAATCACCCATGCCGCTACAAATATAATAGCTGCAGAAACTCCCTGAAAACACACACAGGTTTCATCAGTAAGCAAAATTTCATTGAATCACAGTTTGGGTTTGTCCCAAGTTTACTAACAAGAAGACTACAAGATTGATTGTATGCCAAGTTTGAAACCTGAAACAAGCCTGTTAAGGTTAATCAGGGAAAGACAAAACCCATTATAAAAAATAGCACTCAATCTCACTTTCTTTCTTTCACAAAGAACTTGGGCCTAGTCTTAATATGCAGATCAGTGTCAATGCAAAACTCTGTGTTTGGTACATTGTGTTCTGCAATTGAACTCATTTGCCCCTGAGCCGCCTGTAACCGCCACAGCAGATCCACATCCCTTCTACACACTGCTTGTGCCAGCATCAGTTTTAATGGTCAAGGAAAACTTTGTCGGCAAACTTGTGCACAGTGAAGAGATCTTTCAACCCATACCAGAATGAGCACAATTCAGCCAAGTATTGATTTTTCGATTACCCTATCTCCTCGAATAATAGCCGTCCCTTGATTAACAGCCTTCCTCGAGTAATCACCTCCTTTTGATGGAAATGTTTAAAATAATCGCCTCCCTCGACCCCCCACCCCTGTAGGTTACCAGCTAGGGATAACCAAAGAGGTAAACCTGGAGGATGAAGCTAAAGTGGAGTCTGATCCAGCAAAACTGATCAGATTGCAGTAGGACATTGACATTGAAAATTATAAAGGAGCCAAATTTGGAACACTTTAAATGCCAATGTTCAGTTTATTGTATGTGATTATTTTTTGATTTAATAGAAAAAAAAGAACAAAATATTTAGGGCACGACTTCCATGAGCAATATTTGAGAAAAATAGTGAGCAGCATTGTTTCGTCAATGTTTAGCGAAACAAGACGGTACGACGGCTAGGGTTTTTTTAAATTGCAGGGTCAGCAGTCCCAAAGTCGTTGACAGTCAATAAAATCATCAGCTGCTTTTACTGGCAAAGTTGGGACTTTAAAAAGATTTAAGAACGAGGTACTTTACATGTATAGTGCGTATGTATTGTGTGCCTGTTTCGCTTCGGTGAACTGCGGACCGCGAACCGCGGTAGCCGGAGTTGTTGGGGAGTATTCCAGAGGCCGGAATAGTTTTCCGGGTCTTAAGTACCGACAACCGTTACGTTTGTGGTTTGCGTTTCGCTTCCCAAACTACAGTAGGTTCGGTTTCGCTTCACTTTGTTTTCGTTTCGTTTAGGTTTCGTTTCGTTCTGCATTCGTTTCGTTTTGGTTTCGTTTCGCAAAGTACAGTAAGCCCAAAACTAAAACCAGCTGAAACTGAAAGATACCAGCCGAGGCTAGCTAATGCACGTAGTGCTCAAAGACCAGTCTTATTGAATAGAACACACTACTCACCAAATATACGAAGTTAAAGAAAAACAGGAACGCTTTTGCACAACTCATTGTTACACTCACACGAGAAATGACTTCTTCTTGAGGCACGCTTTTCTTTTACCAGCTAGCCATTACTTAGCATCTCAAAATAGAAATATTCGTGCGAGGGGCATCGAAACTACAATACGTCACTGTCTGAATCTGGAATATGAAAGATCAGAGATCGACTGGAAGATCATGTGCTTTCTGCATGACTGGTACCGTTCGTCCAATCGGCGCCAATAAGGAACAGACTGTGTCTTAACGAAGGTTTATTGAAGACCGAACGAGAACCGCATGGAATTACAAAGATGAGCCACGGGCGCATGCGCGCACTAGATACCGCTGAAAGTAACGCAATAACAACGTAGTGGCGTGATTGCCTCCTCCTTCTTTCCTACCCTAACTAAGAAATAAAACATGAACAATAGGCTGAACTGATACGAGCACTAGACTAAAACCGCATAGGATAACAACGGCTAAAAGTAATGAAAGAGCTAGAATAAATATGAAACTGAATGTAACGGTGGGGTGTATTCCCCCTTATGATAAGGTACGAGTGAGCTAATAAAATACGCAGTTCATGGTAAAGACCGTAGTTACGGCTAGAGAGTACACGGCAGAGTTACTAGTCAAAGTCCCAGTCCTTATTGTGCCAAAATGGGGCTTTCCGCGAGCGGTCAGATTTCCTAGTGGGGATAACAGCAGCAGGCGTCGGCTGTGCATCATCAGTAAAAGAGGGGTCCAGGGGAGCTTGTGGAGGACTCCGAGAAGGCATAATGACTTCAGGAATTGGGGGGTGTTCCTGGGCGGGTAGCTGAGAATGAGCTGGAGACACTGAGTGGTGTACCGGAACAGTATAGGTATCCACTGGTGGAGAAGCAAGCACTGTAGGGGGTCTTAGTGAAGGGACGACGGGAACAGGATCATCGTCAGAGTCAGAAGCAGTGGATTCGGTCTGGCCACGGATGGGTCCTTGTGGAGTCTGAGCTAGGACAGTTGGGGTGACAGGGTAGCAGTCACACATAGGAATGGTGTAGACCTTACTGCGGAACTGTGAACTGGTAAACTTGCGGAGCTGACAGAAAAGGTCTTGATCGATGCCGATCACAAGATACTTGTCGCGGGCTTTCAGTTTGTCTTTGTCACCTTTGATGAAAACAAGGTCACCAACAAGGACAGTGGGGATGGAGGCTTTGGTAAAGCCATGGGCCTTGGACTTAGCACTCGGCATGTGATTCTGCTGGCGGGAAAAGTTTTGACTGAGGATAATCTGGCGGTCGACAATTGGAAGCTGCGCACCAGTGAGCTGGTCGCGTTGCGTCCACAACTCAAGAGCTGAGAGGCCATCACGGCGGATGCGGGAGTTCATATTGGCCGTTGCTAAGGACAGCGTAGTTTGAGAGACGGGGCCTCCCTCAGGAGACAAGTTGAGGATCTCCAAGCCTAGCTCTTCGATGGCGCGCTCAGCCACAGGATTCTTGTTAGGGTTTTTGGGCCTACCAACCTCCAGGGTGATCCCATAAGAGAGGAGTACTCTGTCTTTGGCAAGGGCGGAGAAGCCAGGGGCAGGATCAACGCGGACGATCACCCCTCCGTCGCGAAGGGAACGGAGCTGAGAGCAGAGCATGATGATGGCATTGCGGAGGTCTTCGAGTTTTTCACTCGCGATGAAGGAAGACACGGTGTACGAAGACACTGTTTCCCTTAGAACCATGATCAGTTGACGATGACGCTTAGCGACATCAGCTGCAAATGATACGCCAATGGTAGGAGGAGCATCGGCAGATGACTGCGGGTGCAGGTGTTTAGGGATAGTCTTCAGAGATTGACAGGTGTGACAGCAGGAACAGACAGTCTCAATTGCTTTGTCAAGGTCCAGAGCAAAGAAGTACCTGCTAAAAAGGCGCTTGGTTTGGTACTTGGAAGGATGACTGAAACGGATGTGAAGGGCTGTCAGGAGTCCATCAAGAACAGTGCGAGGGACAACAATGCGATCGCGAGGGGGCTGGAAAGGCGGGTGGTCTTTGACAACGAGAAGACCATCAGTGGCGATGACGACGTCCTGAAGATAGCGTTTGACATCAATTATTTTGGTAGCCTTCTTTGAAGGTCGGGTACCTTGACTGAGGTGAGAATGGGTTCGCCGGAGGTGAGGGCATTCCAGCTGGGTAGCTTGCCATGCGGCGCGGCTGGTGAAGGGCATTCGAACAGAACCCTCTAGGACTTCGCTCACGGAGATGCTGCGCACAACAGAATCTTCCAACTCCGCAATAAAGCGACAAATCTGACAGCTGGAGTCCAAGCATTCTCTTGGGTGCCTGCTGGCGAAGTCTGAGGGAGGTTTTCAACACCTGCAATGTGGCGCACATGGACAGAATAGCGGCTGACTGTAGACAGGAAGGTGGTAACTCTGGAGCTGGCTGAGAACTCTCCTCTCCTAAGCTTATCGTAGGCTTGGACACAAGGCCTACTGTCCGTCAGAACTTCGGTTGTATGGGATGACTGGATAATGTAAGGGGCGAAGTGCTTGATGGAGGAAGCTATGGCCAGAGCTTCGATCTCACACGGTAGCCAGGTCACTTGATGCTTTCGCAGTTTCGCGCTGAAAAAACCAGCCAACAGCAGTTTACCGTTCCGGTGGGTGTAGAGTGTGGCTGCGACGCCTCTATTCTTCACAGAACCATCTGTCACGATCCACAAAGCGTCGCGGGGTTGGGGGATTGTGATGGTCTTGTGGTTTTCAAGGCATGTTGGGCGGACTTGAAAGACAGGAGTAACTCATCGGACCACACTAGTCTTTCTCGAGATTCCTTTCCAGCGGTGGCCTGATCCAAGGGGTCCAGCAATTCAGCGAACTTAGGGAGTACTCGGCTGAGCACCTTGTATGCACCAACGAAAGATCGTAGGCCTTGAACAGTAGTAGGAGGGTCAACAGAGGATAATGCGGCTAACTTGTGGGGGCTAGCCTGTAGGGTGCCATTAGACCATACCCAACCCAACACGGTGGCCTTTCTGGGACAGATGAGTGTTTTGGGCGCGGAGAGACGAAGATTGTTGCGTTGAAGCAAGGAAAGAACGCGCCGCCAATTATGAAGGACATCTGTAGGGTTGCTCCCACCAACGTACAGGTCATCAGCAATTTTGGCAACACAACCCTCTTGAATTAGGTCACCCAGAACTCGAGACATTAGCTCCTCGAGGCATGTTTCCGACCCAGGCATGCCCATAGCAGAGCGGGTATAAACACGGATGCCTTTAAAGGGTGTGGCTACCCCACAGTACTTCATGGAAGAGTGAGCCAGTGGAATTTGATAGAACGACTTTAACAAGTCCGAGATAACTATATACTCCCACTTCCCAATTTCACGCAGTACACCATCGACGTTAGGCATTAGAGAAGGCTGGGGCTTGCTATACTGGGCAACTTCGCCGAAGGATGTCACAAGTCTGCTACCCCCATTGGGTTTCTTAACAAGGAAGGAGGTATTCAAGTACTCAACGTGTACGTTCACCTGTTCAGGTCTGGCAAACACACCAGCCACTTCGAGCTCGTCAAATTTGGCTTGCAATTCCTCAAGGGTGCTTCTGTTGTACTGTGGGAGTCTGCCTTTACGCTGAGGGGGGAGTGTGGGACCAATGTTGACAACAGCTTCAATGGTACCGCTAGCGCCGTTATATTTCGAGATAGTGGGGTTGAAAACATCATCAAACTCCAGATTCAGTGCTCTGAACTTGTCGCGAATGTCCTCGTCTAAGCAGCCATCGGGGGTCAAGGATCACATTAGTGGAGAAGGGCTGGCAGCAGGTAGGGGCAGTAGTGGCTGTAGAGGTAGGGGCAGATGTGGTGTCTATGCTGTCAACAGGTATAACATGCCTTACATGACACAGCTGCTCGCCAGTCCGTAGAAGTATAGGAGAGTCAGTCGTATTGGTTATGCGTACAGCGTGGTCCACAGAGAGGACTTGTTGAGGTGGGGGCCATGCTCCTTCTGCCTTGAGGCGGGTGTTGGATGGACAGTCTAGTCGGGGTTCAAGGGCCCATAATGTATCTGGGTCAGAATCACAAGGGGTGTCAAGCTGAACGTACTCTCCTGGCAGTATGACTGTGCGTTGCGGGTTGCGTAGGAGAAAGGACTGGGTGCGTCGCACAGCTGGTTGAGTAGTGTGTTTGGAAGCAGTACCATAGTGGATTACGTCAGACCCGCCGATTACAATTTGGCGCCTGGCAGGACGGATGCCGATGTCGTTTCGGGCCAGGAAAGGGTTTCCCGCTAAAATGTCAACATCGAGTTGGCGAACAACTAGGGCGTCTAGTTCAAATGCTTGCTGTCCACGAGTGAGAGTGCAATGCACTTCACCCACCACATCCATAGGGGTAACTCCATCGGCTTGGCGGGCCATCTGAGAAGCTGGGGTAACAGGTAGGCCATATAACTTAGCGGCCGAGGCACGAACCATGTTAGACGTGGCGCCAGTATCAAGGGTGAGCTGCACGGGGTGCTCGTGGTAAAAGGTGTTGAGAACAGGTGATTGAATGATGCTGACACGGAGTGCAGTAGGTGCAGTAGGTACATCACTGTGCTCAGGCGGGAGGGCATGATCGCAACACTCATCATAAGGGCCACAGTCGCCGGTCGCAAACTCATCAGGATCGTCGTTTATAAGACGTGAGCGGGCCAATGGTCTCCTGTCACGATCAGGCAGGTAACGGCACTCCATTAGATCATGGGTGTTGTGAGGGCGTCCAGCGGTTTTGCAGAGAATACAAGATACAAATGGACGGCGGCGTGGTTGGCCCTGTCCGCCATTAGAGGTGCGTCTGGGGTTGACATTGCTAATACGCATGGCTTTGGTGTCCTCTATGGAGCGTAGTTCATCAAGGAGGGAACTAAGAGCTTGTGAGATCTCTGGCTTGAGTGAGGCAAGGGTCTTGTTACGCAACTCAGAACCATACTTCTGCTTTACCAGTAATGGTAGGCCAGGGTGGATCAGCTGCAGCCACAGAACTACTATAGTGTTCTCAAGCGATGGGGAAAGATCTTCATCTGCGGTCACCTGCTCACCGTGGTGGGTTAAGCCACCATTAACTGCAAGGAGGTTGTCTTCGAAGAAGGCCATGAGGCGTTGGAATAAGTCCTCTGGTCGCTCAGCAGTTTGAAGGCTGATGCTTGCAAGGTCGAGGAAATGGGCTCCGGAGGACTGGAACCCAAAATGCTGGCGAATTTTCTGCCAAATGTCATTCAGAGAGGTAGAGTGCTTTACTATGGAGTTCCTGGAGATCACGGGGCA